CTGCGATGACTGGCGAAATTGTTGTTGGGAGGGCCTTTATAAACATATGACGTACTAGTTCGTCTCTCACTCCAATTTTATTGGCTGTTGCCAATAATTCTTGCAAGTAGTGTGATGGATTGCCGGTCATTTTAGTTTCTCCGATCAAACGAGCGAACAATTCTGGCTTCGTCCTTTCGTAAATCGTTATCACCGCTGTTTTTAGTTCGTCATAATTTTTATCATGAAACAATTGCTGTGGCAATTTTGCAACCAAATCTGTCGGTAGTGATGATAGAATATAATAAAATTTTGTTTCCGATGAACTTACTTTTCGGAGGTTAAATTGGGCTTCAGCGATTGCGAACCATCCTGTCGATGCTGTATCCATAAAGGTGGGCAACTTGATGGATATCATATCGATATCATTCAATCCTGATTCCGCCATGTTAAAAATTTATTACGGAGAGGCTTTTTATTTACGTCAGAAGAACCACGTGGGATTTTCGTTCAAAATCACGTCGGCTTTTCGTTCAAATCACGTCGGATTTTCGTTCAGATCACGTCGGAGGTCACCAATTTGTTAGTACGACTTTATGCTACTAACAAGACACCTTGTTGTGAGTTAAAATAAATAAAACAAACACAATTCAGGCGTAATAAATTATCTTTATTCCCACATGAATCTCAAACCGTTTTGTTTTACAAGCTATCAGGAAAAAAAGGGAAGAAGTCGAGAGAGAAGCAAAGACATAAAAATTAACATAGATTAGGTAACATTGAAAATTGCAACAATTTTTAATAATAATTAATATATGAGATAGTTAATAAATAAATGTTTAATCCCTACAGGTTCAATAAACTAAATTTTTAGGAGTTATTATAACAAGCAATTTATCATGGACTAATCATATTCAAATGATTTCACAAAAAAATAACAAAAAATTTAGATGTGATATATCATCTTAGGTCAAAATTTCCTGAACATGTTTTATTTACATTATACTATTCAATTGTTTGTCATATATTACTTATTGTATATCTATTTAGGGTTTTAGTACAAAGTCAAACATCCATATTTTAAACGTTTGCCAAAATTTTTTTCTTCGTATACTGTTTGGTTTAACTAAATTTGATCACATTAGTCATTTTTATACGTCATCAAAAATTTTGAAAATTTGTCAATTACACATTCTATTTACTTTATTTTTTTTTTAATAAATTATTTAAATTAAACTACTGCCCCTCATTAAACCATCAACCATAGTTTTAAGAAACAACCCGGATTTTTACTTATCTAAACCTCGCACAAATTTCATAATTAATTCAGTTTTTCACGTGTCTAGTCGCCTATGGGTTACAAATACATGTTAAAAATTTGCCAACGCTAAGATCATTTAAGTCTGTTCATCATTTAATCTTGGAAAATTATTTTTTATCGTTTAATAATGGCTGAAATTGCTCTGGTCAAACTGTTTATTTTATTTTTATTTTGTTTATTAAAATTTATTTTACTTTTCTTTTCTCATAAGGTGGCCTAAAAAGTGAAAACTTCTGGTCTCATAGTAATTTATTTTTGTAATATTTTGCTGAATAAAGGATTGTTTCAATTCAATTGTTTCAATTCAGTCGCAAGAGGTATTATCGGATTTGGTGGCCGGATTTAGGGCCGGATTTAAGCGTCTATCAACATTTAAAAATTTTATAAATTGAAAAAAAAAATTTTATTGAATTCAATTAATTTTATGTCAATAAGTTAAAGGCTAAGCATACATGACACATAATAACAACATCATTAATTGTGAAGTGAGCTGGACAATTTTCTTTGTGCTATAACATGGGTTATGCATAAATTATAAGCTGATCTTTGTGCAAAAGAACTTGTGCACGTGATATATACTACATAATTGTATATTACGGATGATATAGCTATATAATATATATAATTTAAGAACATGGTATGTTAAAGGTTAGGCTAGGCTTACATGGCACATAATAACAACATCACTAATTGTGAGCTGAGCTGGACAATTTTCTTAGTGCTTTAACTTGGGTTATGCATACATTATAAGTTGATCTTTGTGTAAAAGAACTTGTGCACGTGCATGCATGGCACATAATAACAGCATCACTAATTGTGAGCTGAGCTGGACAATTTTCTTTGTGCTATAACATGGGTTATGCATAAATTATAAGCTGATCTTTGTTTACAAGAAATTGTGCACTTATATATAATAGTATATGACGATGATGCAGCTATAAAGCGCATAATTTAAGAACAATATATTTATTAAGCATTTTTTATTATTGGTGAATTTTATAAAAATAGCTGAAAAGAAATTCGGAGTATGGGCGTTTTTTGACGTTAAAACAAACGATAAATCCAAGGCAGTTTGTAAGGAATGCAATGCAGTATTGTCGCGGGGTAAGCCTGATAACCCCAAAAGTTTCTCAACGTCTTCTTTGATTACTCATCTAAGGTCAAAGCATCCACTTCAGTATGATAATATGAACAGTTTAAAGTCTTCGATTGCAGTAGCCGTAGAATGCGAAAATGCCACCTCAAATGACAGTGATGCGAGTTTTCTAGGAAATGTATCAATCCAGCCCACCCAGCCAAAGATTAGAGAAGCATTTGACAAACAAAAACCTTGGGATATAAACAATGACAATGCTAAGCGTATCCATGTGGCGATTGCTAAAATGATAGCGATAGATATGGAGCCTTACCAGGTCGTCGAAAAATCAGGATTTATCAATTTGGTGAAAACCTTGAAGAGAAAGTACAGCATGCCTTCTCGAAAGTATTTCACCGAACGTGTAATTCCTGATCTTTTTGAAAAAGCATCTTCATCACTGAAGGAGAAGGTAGCTGGAGCATTGAGCCTTGCGTTTACAACAGATACATGGACAGCAGACATAACAACGGAGTCATATTTGGGATTGACAGCCCATTGGTTAACTCCTACGTTTGAACGCCAAAGTTATGTTTTGCAGTGTGTAAAATATTCAGGTCAACACACAGCAGCAAATCTACTGTCAGCGTTTGATAGGTCACTCGAAAATTGGAACATTCCACGAAACAAATGTCATTTAGTTTTGCGAGACAATGCGGCAAATATTACCAAATGTTTCCAAGATGGAAACATTAAAAGTGTACCTTGTTTTGCCCACACGGTTCAACTCTGTATCAACGATGGTATATTAAGTCAACGTGGTGTTAGTGATCTCCTGAAAGTTGGACATAAATTAGTAGGCCATTTCAAACACTCGTCATCAGCCACGGATCGTTTGCACAATTTGCAAGCGGATTTAAATCTGCCAAAACACCAGTTAATTCAGGACATCCCCACAAGGTGGAATTCAACATTCTTCATGGTGCAGCGACTGTTAGAGCAACGTCGAGCAATAACATTGTACTGTGCTGAAAATGAATCTGTTACTAATTTGTCACCAAATCAATGGTCTGTTGCTGAAACTGTTGCTGCGGTTTTGGAACCATTTGAGGAGGTTACCAGAGAAGTTAGCTCATCATCAGCATCTATATTTTTGGTTATTCCAATGGTGTATCTTTTGGTATTAGTTTTGGAAAAAGAAAGTCGGGATGCTGGCATTAAAACAATGAAGGCCACACTGCTGAATGCTATCAACACCAGGTTCCAAAACATTATAAATGACCGAGTTTACAGTGTAGCCACAATGCTTGATCCAAGGTTTAAGACCCGCTTCTTGAACGATACAGCTTGTACCGAAGCGAAGGCAGGAGTTGTGCTTGCTGCCACTAAATTGTTACCTCAAAATAACAAAGAATTAGAGTCTACATCAGAGGATGTGCAATCCCAAAAGCCAACAAAAAAAGACGTGTTGATGAATTATCTTCAAAATTGTGGGACTGTTTCGAAGATATGTTGAAAAATGAAGTAACGAGTATTTCTAACAACAGATCACTTCAAGATAGCATCAGTGATGAACTCTCAACTTTCTTGGGAGAACCATTGTTACAGCGACAGGAAGACCCAGCTACATGGTGTGGAAGTTTAACACTACAAAGTATCCAACCATATCAAAGGTTGCACAAGTTTACCTAGCACCTCCACCAACAAGTGTACCATCCCAAAGATTGTTTAGCACGGCTGGAGACATCATCACTGAGCATCGCACAAGACTGCTCCCTGACAACGCTGAGAAGCTGATATTCTTAAAAAACAATGCTTCTCTTATTTAACTATTTACATGTGAAATAATAAACTTTTTTTGTACACTGGAATTTTTTTAATAAAAAACAATCAATACTTTATGCTTTGTGTTATTTTTTGGTATTCAACATGTAGATAACCGTAAATGTGAGTATTTTTTCTAACGTATGTAAAATAGTAACTAAAATCCGGCCCCGGCCGGTTTTTGAATTTTAAATCCGGCCAAGTCCGGCCCCCGCCGGATTTGAAAAACCTAAATCCGGTGCATCCATAATTTGTTTATTAATATCTTTTACTATCAACTATGATTGAGCTGATTTCTCACATTTAGTCTTCCTGTTGAGTATGGCTGTTAAGAGAAAGTTGAAATAAAATATTTTCAATGTGAAGCTGTTTATCGCTTTAAATGCGGTGGATTAACAAGGCCTCATTCGATGTAGTTACGAATAAAGAGAATGTAAAGTGGTTCTGCAACTGCTGTTTGAAGATGCTTCCAAATGTAAAAATGCTGACTATTGTCGTCAAAAATAACTATGTCAGAATTGAAGCAAAAATTGAGGAAATTAATGACTAGAATGGGGCGGTTAGAGACGAGCTGAAACAAATAAAGAATCTAATAAAAGATAATGATGATAAATTAGACAGATTGGGTAAACCAACTGCCATACTGAGTACTGAGATTCAAAAGCGACCTAAGCAAGAGTTGGGCAAATAGATTCATTATTATGAAATTTGATGGGATATTTGAACTAATATATGAGGGATTTGATTTAATAGTTTTAACAGAAACCTGGCATAGGTCTTATGATGAATTTTTTTGTTAAAATGGCTAAGATTTTATGTTTTGATTTTATTGATTTTCTGAGACCTTATAATCCGCATCCCTGTGGAATCATGGTCTATTTCAGAAATAATATTCACTGTAAAAGAATTGAATTGCCAACAACATTCACATTTGAAGATTTAGCTATGAAGTTCAAGATAAATGGGATTGACGTTGTTTTGCTCGCCATTTACAGACCAGGATCTGCTCAAATTTCATCGCAATTTTTCAGTGAATTTGTTGATATTTTAGAGATCATTATTGTAATGAGTTGCAACGTTATAATAGCAGGTGATTTCAACATCCACTTAAAAAATAAGAATGATTCTCACACAGTTTCTTTGCTAGATATATTTGTGAATAGAGTCAATAAGCCAACACATGAAAAAAGAGGTACTTTGGATCTGGTTGCGACATCTAAAGAATTCCCTGTCTCCAACATTTAAGTATCACCTCATGAAGATCAATTCATCAACTTGCTTCTTGATTCCTTCACCAGTAAGCCATGTCAGGGTAGTGATGTTGATGCATTGTTGGATTTGTTTGAAAAGGAGCTCAAACGCATCATTGACATTGTTGCATCACAACATTTTATTGAGATCAGACAGGATCCTATGGCTCCTTTGTTCGACAAGGATTGTCGCCGTTCCAAATCTAACTGCAGAAAGATGGAAAGACGTTTTAGAAAGACTTTGTCGGATAAAAATAAAACAGAATGGATTGATGCTTTGCATGCTAAAAAACTCTTCTCTCAAATAAGCGAAATAGTTATTGGAAAAGACTGATCAATGATGGTGGGTGTAGTCAAAAGCAGCTTTAGAGAACCATAAATAAAATATTTTGCAAAGACAATACATGTGCATCCTGTCCAAATGAATCCAAACTATCGGCGCAATCGTTTTTAAATTTTTTTAATGACAAAATTCTCAAAGTTATGAAATCTACAGTATCCAGTGACACACCATCAGTTGCTCGTGGTGATTTTAACAAAGTATTTTCGGTCTTTGCTGACTACACAGAGGATGATATAAAACGAATAATTTTGAATTCGCCGTCTAAAACCTGCAATCTCGACTGCTTACCTGCCCATTTTTTCAAGAAGCCGTTCATCTTATTTTTAAAATTTGTCACCAGTTTCATCAACCTATGTTTGAGTACTGGAAAATTTCCTGTTGTGTACAAACATGCCCTGGTGATACCTCTTTTAAAGAAAAATGAGTTGGATAAAGGCGATGAAAATAACTACAGACCAGTATCATATCTTCCATTTATGTCAAGGATTATAGAGTGAATAGTTGCTAATAAGCTGGTTAGCCATTTAGAACAAAATTTTTTGTTGCCTGTGCATCAGTCGGGATTCAGACAACATCATTGGACAGAAACAACTTTGTTGGATATTTTGTCCACATTATTTTCAGTGACAGATACGAAAAATGTCTCTATCTAGGCGCTTTTGGAAAAGAAGGCAGCGTTTGATTGCGTCGATCATGGCATTTTGCTGGACCGTTCAAAGAAACAATTTAGTATATAAGGAACAGCAAAACTGGTTTCAGTCTTACTTGACGGATCAAACGCAACAAGTGGTGTTTGTCAGATACGTAACCAGTCATTACCGGTATGCCACAGGGATCACTATTAGGGCCCTTTTTATTTGTTTTATACACGGCAGATGTTCTTCAATTAATTGATTCATTTTATTTTTATAGTCATGCTTATGCTGATGATAACCAGGTCATGGTTAGTGGACTGCCTAGTGAATTCCCAGTTATGTTGAACAAATTCCTTAAAAGTCTGACAAAAATAGATGCTTAGATGTCTTGCAACCGTTTAATGTTAAATCGATTTAAGACGCAATTAATGCCAATTGGAACATGGCAACAGCTCTCAAGAGTTAAAATCATGGATATATTATATATATCCATGGTTAAAATCGATTTAACCATCATTAATGATCAATTAAATTTTCTTCCAAGACTGTCAATTTGGGTTGCATTTTGGAACCACAGCTAGCTATTTATCAGATATATTAATTGAACCTAAACGCCCCGGTTTACGATCGTCTTCTTCTTCTCGCTTTTTCTTAACTCGTGTTAAACACACTTTTGCCAAATCTGCTTTTGCTTTTTCTAGTTTTTTTCTCTGGAACTCTCTACCTACTTCTCTGACTACTTCTCCATCACTTGCGAAGTTCAGAGCGGATCTCAAGACCCATCTGTTTTCAAAATACATTGAGGAGCGCTGCTGAACATCGCGGAAATAGCACTTTATAAGCTAATTGATTGATTGATTGATTGATTGATTGATTGATTGATGCATTCTCATGTAAAATTTATTACAAATACTTGTCTGAATCAGTTGCGCATGTTGAGGATAGTTGAAACATCGCTTCAAAGAGATATAGTCCAAAATTTGATCCATGCATTTGTACATGCGAGGTTAGATTACTGCAATAGCTTGTTTTTTGGTCTGTCTGACAAGATGATATCTATGCTTCAGCTTGTTCAAAACCGTGCCACCAAGCTTGTTGTGGGAGCTGCAAAATATGACTACATGACTCATATATTTCGAGAACAACATTTGTTGAAGTTTTATAAAAAAAAGTTACGTTCAAAATGTTGTTTCTGATGTTTAAGGTCATAAATGGACTCGCTCCAAAGTATTTAGCTGATAGATGCACTTCTAAAGCGACGTTTGCAAAGCCATACAACCTACGTCATGACGATAAAAACTTTGTGGACCATCCAACATCACGTTTATTATTATTATTATTATTATTATTAATTTATATCAAGTTCTGGCAATAGCTTCAGTGGTGTTTGGATAAACAATGACTTTTGGCGTTTCCGTAGACCTGGATATACAAAATGTTTTTTAATCGTTTCCTAAAAGGTTTAATGGTTGGCTCTTGACGAATAATGACAGGCAAACTATTCTATATTGAAGGAGAGCTGTATGTAAAACATCTGTTAACAACTGATGAATTGCTGACGGTTTGATGCAACTGAGTATATGAAGACGAACGAAGTTGACGAGTTGATGAACGACGCGATATAAGTTGATGAAGATATGATGGTTGAGATGTATTAAGTAACTTGTACGTGAGGACGGCGAGTTTAAATATAATGCGTTGACGTACTGGTTGAATTGTAGTTGAATGAATGAGTGAATCTGTGCTGTAAGATAAATTACTAATTTTTAAAACAACTTTTGCAACTCTATTTTAAGCTCTTTGAAGTAAAGTTAAAAGATAGGAAGGAAGACCGTAGAGAAGAGAATTACAATAATCTAAACGTGATAGTACTTGACATCGAGCCAGAAAAGAAGCGATATCTTCAGTGAGAAGATTACGAATATAACGAATAGTCCACGTATAATAGTTACAAGATTTGATCAGAGCTAAAATATGAAAATTAAAAGATAGAGAAAAATCAAAAGTTAAGCCTAAAAATTTAAGTTTAGAGATTGAAGAAAGAGAAGAATCAGCCAAAAAAAACGTGTGATGGGGGTAACATTTGATAAACTGTTGCGGAGTATCAAGAAACATTACTTCAGATTTGTAGGGATTTAGCTGAAGAAAATTAGATAAATGCCAATCGTTTATGGCCATAAGTTGTCAAGCTGAGATATATGATTAGAGGTAGAAATTTTAGCTATTATGCATGTGGCATCAGCGTATTGATGAAAGAGTAAGCCAAAAGTGTTAATGATATTAGAAATAGGAGAGGTAAAAGTAGTAAAAAGAATGAGACCAAAGAAAGATTTTTGAGGAACTCCAATAGATAACGTAAAGCTAGAAGAAGAGTGAGAGCCAAGTTTAATATATTGAGGACGATTAGAAAGATAAAATTAAAACCAAGATAAGGCAGATCCCGTGATGCCATATTCTGTCTCAAGTCCGTCAATAAGCATCTGATGACTAATAGTGTCACAAACTGCTGAAAGATCCAGGCTGACCCTGACAGCACAATTTTAGTTTCCACATATGCTAGCAAGTTGGTCGTGAACATGAAAGAGGGCTGTTTCTGTAGAATAATATTTTCTGTGAGCGGATTGAAAAGGAGAGAAATTTGGAGATTAAGTAATATGAGTGAGAATCCTGTTCAAGTCAATGCGTTCAAGTAATTTAGAGAAAGTTGAAAGGTTGGAAATAGGACAGTAATTAGAAGGATCAGATGGATCAAGGTTAGAGTTTTACAGTAAAAATGAAATTTGAGCTATCTTGAAAGAAGTTGGGAAAATGCTGTTTTCTCGAGAAAAATTGCAAAGCTTAGAAAGTAATGGAGCAAAAAGATGAGAAATTTTTTAAGAATAAAAGCTGGAATAATGTCAAGTGGAGATGTTTTCAGTTTTGTTGGGCAAAGAGTTGATAAGCTTTAGAACTTTTTCTGAGGTGACAGCTGAAAAAGAAGAAAAAAGAGAGAGGAAGAAAGAGGTCTATGGTTTAAAGAAGGAATGTTAGAAGAAGCAATTGTTGTAGCAATAGATTGATGAATAGAATTTATTTTGTCCTTGAAAAAGTTAGCAAAAGAAGATACAAGAATAAGAGATTCAGCATCAGAAAAATGATAATCTGAGCGTTTGTAAAGAATGTTGTTAAGAGAATGCCAGAGATTACGAGAGTTGCTGCAGTTGTTGAGAGTGCTCTTATTAGAATCGATCCTAGACCTCATAATGACCTCACGAGCAACACCTATAGCATTTTTGTAGTTGACGAAGTTGAGCGCTGATTTTTCACGTTTGTAGTGACGCTCCAGACGACAACAATTTCTTTTAGCAGCTATTGCTTCTTGGGATAAAGAACAGCGAGGGTTGAAACTCTCACGAAACGAGCAATGCTTAATTGTGCGATGTCATTTAAAGTTGTGTTTAGAGTTGACGCAAACTCATCGACCTCCAAATATTGTGAGAACAAATAATCAAATGCTCTGTTTAAATCATTTTCGAATGACCTGTAATTTAAACGACGAAAGCTGCGACGGCAGCTATGGATGATTGTCGATGGTGGTCTGAAGAGCGTTGAGTTGAAGCACACAATGTTGTGCTCTAAGAAACGCAATTATTTGCCGTTAGGTTATCTACAATGTTGTTGCTGGCATCAGTGATTACAAGGTCCAACGAATTGCCATGTACATGTGTAGAGGAGCTGACGTGTTGAGTGAGATTGAAGGATTCCAATAACGAAGATAGGTGATGATCAATACCCAAAAAAGGTACTGGTGCGTTGAAGTCGCCGCAGATGATAAACGGTAGATTATGGCCAATGATGAAATCTAGATGATCGGTAAATTCATCAAGAAAGCTTGTTGAAACAGGACCGGGTGGCCTATAAATTGATGAAATAATGAAAGACGACGAAAAAGTGTTAAATTTTACTGAAAGGCTTTCAAAATAACAAAAAATTGTACTATTGTTGATGGGTGCTGCCCTCAGTAAGTTGTTGTACACGACAGCCAAGCCGCCTTCACGTTTGTTACTGGAAGTACCATGATGAGAATGACAAACTGAGTAACCCAAAAGAGACAAACTTTGTAGAACTCGTGGGGCATCGGATGGTATCCAGGTTTCGGTGACGACGTGGATATCAATTTTTTCCTTACATATGACGTCGTTCAGAAAAGCGGCGTTGTTGACAGCGGACCTTGCATTTACAAGCCCACATTTTAATTTGGCCAAGCGTTTGTTAACGCTGGGTCTCTTTCCCAGAGCCGAAAAGTTATTGTAGATAGCTGAATGTGTCAAATGCGAGTTCCAAATATTTAACTGAAACATGATTTTTCTACATATTCTAAGAATACGGAGAGAATTTATGGGTGGTGAAAGGAAAGACCAAGAAGTTCTTCGCGGGTCCATTTGGTTGTCATAGCGAAAATTATTTGACAAAAGCGACAGATTGCGAGACGGACTAAACTAGTAGCATTGAAAAACTTGATTATGATGAATTGTAGTCGTAGATAAAATTATTGATGATTTGTAGATGAAAGAAAACCGTTGAAATTTGAAGTTAAAACCGGTTACTATGACGACGATGGAGAAAATTTGTTGAATTCATAATCAATTGTAAAACGAACTGTAATACAGCAACGAAATCTTTCGCGAATTTTAAAAACGTTGTCAGAAAAAATTAATCATTGTTTTATTAAAGGAACGTGAGCAAAAACTTTAGTTTATAACGGAAAATTTAGTGATTGAAAATCCACAATACAATGTCGAGTAAATCATAGACATCTCAAACCAAATAATCAAAGATTATTACTAATCAAAGATTATTACTAAAGTTTAAAGATTGGTTCAAGAAATTTTTCTATTGCTGGAAGGTAGAAGTCTACCTTGCTGCTTGCGACAACCTGGTCTCTCCGTCAAGAATTTCAAAAAGCTGTTAAAGACTTATTTTTGATCAATGAAACGTTTTCTTGTCATAGTTTTAACAATTGTTTATGAGCGCTTTTGAGATAACAATTTAAGAAGCGCATATTTATACTAATGATATTAATACTAATATATGCTGGAAGACTATAATTGAAGCCATATTTGATAAAATAGACCAAATTTTTAGCTATTGAAAGTTTACGGTTAGGCTTTTCAATATATATAACAATAATCGTATATTTATTAAAAATGTATTCACAAAGTTTATTCATTTAGTTTTAACTTCACTGCCTGACATATACATCAAAACAAATTTTTATGATTCATCGAATGATTGTTAAACTGTTTTGTTCCATATATCTTTGACAATAATGTATAAAGGTAATGGTTAAAGATACAAACAAGTTGAATCAGTCATCATTAGCTAATTTATGAAACATTCAAAACGTAAATGATATAATTAAGACGGTATGGGAACCAGTTGAGCAACTAAAGGCAAAATGTCCTCAGTTTTCAGTCTCCAGTTTTTTATATCCTTAGAAACTTTGCACCATAACTCTCCGTGTTTCGGTTCGGCACTCAAGCACTGTCGTTTTACTTCTTCTTGTTGAACCTGTCAATTGATTTTTTAAAATTTAATGTTGGTCATTTTTGCTTGATTTATGTAAGTTTAATTTTGTTTATAAACATAGTTGTTGGCGTGCACGATTTATTCACAGATTTATACTTTAATAATAATACTTTTCTCACGTTTCTAGCGTCTTCATTGTTCATATGTTTACATGAAGTTCATGTATTCCTATGCGCACTTATCTCCATGTGTACAATAAAATGAAACAAGACGAATAAAAAACACAAAAAAAGGACTCTCATTCGTAGGTATCTACGACCACTTGTCAACCAATTTCATACGGCTGCTCTGTTTATTCAGATGTTTAACAGCTTTAAAAACGAGTATCAATAATATGAACAACTGAAGCAATACCTCTGAACCATGGATCAGCTCGAATTTGTAGAAGTGTGCCCAAGCGTCACCTAGGTCTCCATCTAATTTCACTGTTCTTTTAAACCATTCACGGGCTTTATCTAATTTTCTTTCCGACCAAATCAACCTGCAGTGAACGTGGTCAACTTTGTTAAAAAAATAGTCTGCATTAAAAAAACTGTAATGTATTAAAATACATCTTCAAAACTTCCACATAAACATGCTCTCAAAAAAATCTGGTTATCAAGATCTCAAATTACACATTCTATCATGGTAAATGTAACAACAGACCTTAATTTGTGTCATTTAAAAAGCTCTTTATTTTTAATTGAATTACCAAAATATATTATTTAAAATAAAATATTGCACCAATCCAATCGAATGACGTAAAGAATTAAAATTGTACAAATAAAAATAACGGGATGCATTCATTATTAATTTACCAGATTACAAAAGTGATCTTCTAAACCAGGGATGGTGAACAGTGTTGCATTACACGATCATGTGTTGCACAATTAGCCATCCAACGCAGATAATTATGCTAATTAATAATTAGTAATTATGCATGTATTATGCAAAAATAGTGTTCGTAAACACAACCAGGAATATATATGGTTAGGGTTGTTAAGGTTAGGTTAGTTATTTTTAACTTTTGAACATTAGAATAAATTTTATACAGCTTTTTTTCGACAAATATTTGTCATCATCAGTGTTTGATACGGCTGTGGTTTTATTTGTTTGTTTGTATAGTTTATTTAGGTTTGTTACTGTAGGCCTATATATATATATATATATATATATATATATATATATAGTTTATTTAGGTTTGTTACTGTAGGCCTATATATATATATATATATATACATATATATATATATATATATATATATATAGAGAGAGAGAGAGAGAGAGAGGGAGTGAGAGAGAGTGAGAGAGAGAGAGGGAGAGAGAGAGAGACGGAGAAAGAGAGAGAGAGCACTGACAAATACAAAATAGTGCGGTGCATTTAAATAGAAGTTGATAAAAATTGTGTGCATGGCATAAAATGATTAGCCACTCCTGTTCTAAACGCTAAAAAAATTAACGTATGCAACTCTTACTTTGCTGCAGCCAGTAGGACGTAGGCATTGTGTTGGCACTTTTTGAGAGCATCTGCACTTTTAGTTTTTCTTTGAGGACGAGGTTCCATAAAAATGGCTTCAGCCCAAAGCTTCCCTGAATCAGGACACTCCTGAAGTGCTGATAAAATAAATTATTTGGAAATTTTTGTAAAAACATATTTAACATCTGTTTAAACTTATCGGACCAAAAAATAATTAATTGAAATGATAGATAAATGGATCAAGAATGAAAGTGGTTTAAATAAATAAATAAACGTAAATAATACGGCTCCTAACACACACACAAAAACATATATTATATATATATATATATATATATATATATATATATATATATATATATATATATATATATATATAGAACATAACCGAATTCTTGACAGTATGTAAAAAATTTAACCGATTTATTGGCTAAGAAGTCTACACCTACCAGAAAACCCACATCAACATGACTCGACAGGAAGAGCATATTCAAGAAGTGTCTTCAATGCTAAAGAGAAAAGGAGAGTTAACATTACAACGTCAGAACTCATACACAGAGCAAGAAAATCATTCCAATTGACAATGGAAATGAAAAAATGTTAACAAGATATGTGAGATCAGTGACTCATTGAACTAGAAGTGGGAAGATGACGTCACATAAATGTGGACCACTCTGGTGATGTGGACCAGAGATTGGAAACAAACATTAAAGGGGCGTGAACATAGCAATAGATACCAAGTTGGCTAAAATGGTAACGGATATGAATTTCGCGAATTAAAGAATAATGAAAATACGAAAGATTAATCAAAATACGGGCTAAGTTCAGACATACCAATGTCACATTTATAAAGGCATATGCGCCCACAAAGAATAGTGATGTATTCACCAAGGATGAGTTCTACATTAATTCTCAAGAGATACTCGACAGAACACGAAGAAATGATGTACTTATGCTAATGGGGACAATAATGCAAAAATAGGATGAATTGGGCAAGATATATGAGGATGTAGGAGTTCAGAACACCTAAAAAAATTTGTAAGTATTAGCCAAATGGGAACAGATAAAAAGGCAGACCCAAAATGAAATAGACCAAGTCGAGATTAGGAAAGAGTTGGATTACCAATACACGCGAGAACTACTGGAAAAATTAAAATATCATTAGAAGAAATTGCAAAAAACAGAAATGGATGGGCATGTTAGTTTTGCCTCTTTGGCTGGAGAAAACCGATCAAGAAAATAACATAAGTGTGTATATATATATATATATATATATATATATATATATATATATATATATATATATATATATATATATAACCTTTAGCCATTAAATTTAATGCTATGCTTGACTTTCTATTTAACTTTTTGATTTTTCTAACGGTTGATCGTAAATCATTTTCAAGTTTCTTGTGTTCAAAACCAAAATTTTTGTTTATTTTATGCATAATAGAGCAAAAAAGCTTTTTTCAGCATTTCTATACCATCTTCGGTGTTCAAATTGATACGTTAGAAAAATCGAAGTTAAATATGAAGTTAACAAATGCAGAACATGCTGTGATTTTCATCAATAATTGCATTTCTGACAGTCTTTATCCAACACACACACACACACACACACACACACACACACACACACACACACACACACACACACACACACACACACACATATATATATATATATAATATAACCTTTAGCCATTAAATTGAGTGCTATGCTTTTGAGACCGGCTCTATTTTCAAGCTTAACAGCTTCAAGCCATAAATCCGCGTTTTTTGGATTTTTCAGTCTGGCTTTCTCCAGGACTGCCCTCGCCTTGATCAACAAACCAGCTTTTTCCTCAACTCTAGATAGCAACAACCACAATGGAATTGATTCAGGACACTTTTGTATCTGTTGAAAAAACAATATTCTGTTTATTTATCCAGTTATCAACCAATATATCCATTAAAAACAAATCATGAAAAAATCTGTCACTAACTCCTTGCTTGTAAATTTCTCTCACATCTTCAATGTTGCCTTCTTGTTCTTCTATTTGACCTTTCATCATCCACAGCTAGATATTTTAAATTATAAATAAACGATAAATAAATTATACACAAATAAATTCACATAACTGTAAGATTGAAGTTTTTCCAGTAAAACTTTAATTACTTTTGCAAATGAAGGGTACAGATCAACTGATTCTTGTAACAATATCCTGGCTTTTGCAATGTCTCCCAAACACCACTCCAGTTTCACAGACTTCAGAAATACCTTTAAAAAATATTTAAATTAGCAGTCGATGACAACATAGTTGTGGAGGTAGTTGATGATGACATGGTTGTGGTGGTTGTTAACTTGAAAACACTTTTTTATCACTCAAGCATTAGAATTTTTAGATAACACTTTTGTAACTACTCAATTTAAACTTAAATTTAATTTACCTAATGCAAATTTAACCTCAAAGATTTTATTTTTAAATTATATTTGAGCAAACATGTTGTTGAAACAAGTTACTAACGCCAATTTTGTAATTAACTGAAGTCAAAACTAGAACACTTAATTATCAAAATATTTATCTATTACCATTATTTTCCGGATATCTCATTTAAGGGACGTCCACGGTTCAAAACAGCTTAACATAGCTGGGTAATAAAATCCCTGGTGAAACACTCATCTTATGAATGAAAGTCAATCCAATAATTAAATGAATTTTTTTATTTCTAACGAAAGTTTATTAATTTGTTAACTGTTAACAAGCTAATAAAAATTAAACAAACTCTAGCAGTAGAAGCATTTGATCTAGCTCTCTGTAGCAACCTCCTTGCTCTTTCAAATTCATTGTTTTCCGATTCCAATTTCACTGCTGCTAACCAAATGACTTCGGCGTTAGGATTAGCCTGAAACGCCAAGGATAGAATACTTCTGGCAGCTGAAACATCACCCTTTATATGTTCAAAGTAAATAGTCAGTGTTCATTAATTTCAGATTACTACCGTTATATTGTTGGTGTTTTCTCGTTGTTTGAGTAGTAAAAGTTATGCATGATATATCGAAAATTACAAAACAAAATGTAGATGGACAATGAAATCAAAATTTAAAATTACTAACAGCAAGCCATTTTGATTTTGCACCCATCAGCCAAAGAACTTCGACTTTTGGACAATGTGTGACTGCCTTTTGTAACAACAGTTCATAACTTTCCCTTAAACAGAAATAATTAATTAGAATTCAACAGAAAAATAGATCATGATCTAGAAAATAGAAGTTTTTTTCATGATTGAATGTTGATATTTCAATAGTTAAAAACATTGGTAGCCAACAAATGGTTCAGTAAAATACAGGGTGTAGGATGAAAAAGATCCGACTCTTAATCAAGCCAACCCTCAAAAAATTTCCGACTTCAGCTCTTTATAAAATTTCCGACTTCAGACACAATAAAATTCTATTATTATTGATAATCTTGATAATCGCAAAGGCTTTCAAAGAAATTGCACCACTCATTGCGCAACACTGCTTATCAATCTAACCTATTGAAGGTACCATGGACATTGTTCATATGACAAGTAAGTGACTAAATGAGGCTCACATTACAAGCAATCGAATAAATAAGTTTTTAATGGGAACACATGAATTTATTTAGGGGTTTGAAGAGTGCACAGAATGAAACCATTTTAGCATAACACATTTTGCAAGAAGCACTGTTTCACGCCAAAGCTGTTCAAGAAAAAACTGTTCAAGCTGTTCACTGATACACATTTCTGCATTCTGTTTTCTATATGCCATTTATTCTCCATGATCATACGTAAGAGTATGTAAACGTAATTTGTATATTTTGTATATGTATATGTATTTATGTCGTTTCATGTATTTACGGAGTCTGTACAAGTTAGTAACTATAAGACAAAATAAATTTGTTAGTATGTGAGATATGAGAAATGAAGTTTTGTAAAATTAAAAACATTTTGTATGTTAACCTTGATCCATAATCTTTCTCAAATGCTGCAGCAGCGAGCCAGATATTTTTTTTATTAGGGAAAACAGAAAGTGAATGGGTGTAAATTGCTCTTGCGCACTCGATTGCACCATGAACTGCACACTGCAAACAAAATATTAAAATTAAGTCATTTAATAATTAATGTTCAAAATGTAAAAAAGTTGAATGCATACGGAATCTGCATCTGTCATCCATGCCTCCTTTTTCTCTTCATCCTCCATGCCAATTCCTATGATGTTATTACTGAAAGTGAAAAGAAGTTAGGTAACAAAAAAACTGTTGTGTTGAAAAATTGTTTAAAAAAATTACATGATGGCTCGACAGGTGTGAACACTGTGAGATTTTTCAGCATCTTCTGCATCCTTCAACCATTGCTCTCTATTGATTTCAACACCACTAGCCCGTAACGATGTCAGAGCTGTTGTAAGATGAAATCATGTTAACGTGATAATTTTAGAAGGACAATGAACTTTATAATTATCAGTTAATATTAATAAATGAGCTCAAAAAATTTTTAATTGTCAATTAATTTAAAATGTCAATTAACTTAAAATCTATGTACAACCAAGATTTTGGATTTCGTTTGTTATTATCGATAAACAGAAAAGTAACCTTTTTCAATAATCTTAGGTACCATAGAAAAATTTCCATTTGCCTCCTCCAATTTGGCAGCAGTAATCCAAATCTGACGATCAGTTGGTATTTGATTTCTGGCTCTGTTTAGTACAGCTTTTGCATTCTCATATGTCTCCAGTCTGCTCAAGGCTAGCCATAACTAATTTGTGAAATTAAATTAAAACGGGTTAAGAAGTATATAATAACCGAAAATAATTATAACATTTATTAATTTTATTATTTTTTTCATTTTCAACATTTTTATTACTACATTATTTATTACAATTATTTAAATAAAATATTTACATATATTACATAGATTTAATAAAAAACACCTATCAAGGGCAATAAAACTTCTAACAAAATCGCGCGTGCATCAGAAGCTAGATAAAATTTGCAAAACTGTATACACAAATTGTATATATGCGTTCAAGTTCTTAAATGTTAAAATGTTCTTAAAATATTAAAATGTTCGCCAGAATACAAACTTTTTCAAAAAGTAACTTTTTAAATATCTAGCAATTAAAAAACTACATCACAAGGATGAGATCAAATCTGCAGAAGCCTAATGAGATGCTGAAGAAAAATGTGAAAATGAAAATTCAGTTCGATTTATTTTCTGCTTCTCACCACATAAGCGAGGTCAAAATTTTCATTTTTATAGTATTTTAAAATTATTCATTATTGTCATCAAAATTACCCAAACCAATTAAAAACTTGACAAAGTCTGAATAGATAGATGAACAGATAGATAGACAGACAAATAGAAAAACAGTTTATTGGTACTAAATAAAGTTTTTTGGCAAACCTCAACATTGCTAGGACAACACTCAACCGCTCTGCTCAATAATATTCTTGCGTCTTCTTCATCCTCCAATTCAACAGCAGCTTTCCACAAGGCCACAGAATTCGGTATATTTTCAAGAGCTGTTTCATAGAAATGAAAAATTAAAAAAAACTAACAAAATTAATTTAAATTAATCTGACGTTGAATGAACAAATACCTTTTCTGAAAATGATTTTTTTATCATTAGAATTTGATTCAAGAGAAGCTGCCTTCATCCAGATGCTTACAGATTGGGGCAGATGTCTGACTGCTTGTGCCACAACAACTCTCGCTTGGTCTCCCGGCATCAACCTGATTGCTTCCATCCACAAATTTTCACTTTTTGGACACTGCTCACAACCGGACATGATAAGATTCCTGGCAGCCTGCAACTTTCCAGTTACCTCTTCCAGAGTGGCCGATGCAATCCACGCTGGAGGATGTTTAGGATTCGTTTCCCTAACTGATTTAAGCAGCAAGCGAGCTTTCTTCACATCACTGAATTAGTAATATTACATCACTGAATTAGCAATATTAGAATAACTGAACAAGCAAATAAACAAACCGTTTACCAGAAAAATGCTAAAACAATTGAACAAATAGTTTAACAAAAAAATGATAGAACAATTGAACAAACAGTTTAACAAAAAATGCTAGAACAATTGTATAAACAAAAGTTAAAAACCTGATGTCGGCGCCTCTAGTGGGAATCATTGATTGCAAATCAGTGAGATAGCCTTTCGGGTCCACAACAGTTTGTCCTGATACAGAATCAGAAACTTGAGTTAATTTTATGTCCATCAGAGCATTTCGGGCTTCTCCTATCTTTTTCATATCGATGTCAGCTAAAATTAAATTTGAGTATTATATTAAAATAAATATTGCCAAGGTGTGATGATGAAGACAGTATTGAATACATCAAAGTTTTAAAATTACTTTGTACATTGAAACATAGGCTATATCGATAAAGAGCCAAAAAAGATTGAAGATGGAGCTAATTATAAAATGTTAAAAATGTAAGCAAACATTTTCTTGAGAGACGACATTGGTTATGAGGGGAGGAGCTGTAAAAAAAAGTGAAATGGTATGGGCATGTGAGAAAATAGTGATGAATCATTGGTTAAAATGCGAAATCATGAAAAAAGTCAAAGTGAAAGAGAAAAATCGACTAAGCCAGGGGAATTTATTTGGAAAAATGTGTCACTGTGCAAAGACTAAATGTTGCTTGGCTTAAAACGCAAAGACTAAATGTTGCTTAGCTTAAAACTGAAAGTGGCTTTTGAAAAGAAGGATGGAAAAGAGTAAGGGATGGAAAAGTGGAAAAAACAGGTAGGTAACCCAAATCGGTGATGGCATACATTAAAAATCTCTAAATTTAAGATTGGTATCTAAGGTTTGAACGACAATATGATGCTACAAAATAATGCCAATATGTTTTATAATGGTTGCGCATCATAAAATGCATTACTGTATCAAAAAAGTGCATTTACCATAGTTAAATTGTTGGAAATGTGTTTGTTCTTCATTTCATAGATTTTGTTCAACTTTACTAAACTTTTCAAAACTCGGCAAAAGTTAAAAAAAAAATTTTTGGACTATCATAGTATGAAAATGATTTTTATTGTAAAATACTTAGTAATGCTGTACAAATAGTTGGTTTTCTGAGCTCAATAAATGAATATAAAAGTTTTATAAAGAAAATTATATATTTAAGAGTATAAATTTGAATGATAAATCAAAGATTGAAATGAATTTTTATTTTCCAAAACAGCCCATAGAAGCAAGCATACTTGCAGGTGTGTTGCTACCGGGGAATGGAGACGTTAGTCCACCGAATCTCTGTTCTCTCAAATCAACTGCCGTCGTTGTATCGCCCATGTGAACATTTTTGCTCAACACCGAATCTGGCATGGGTGTAAACCTGAATGTAAGCATAACAACACCAATAATAACAATAATAATGGCAGATGTGCATAAAATATGTTGATATGCGTATGTACTTAAATTGATTTTTTAATGGAACATTCACATAAAAACCGGTTAATCGAACCACATCGGCTCGTCCAATTAAACGGTTTGCCACATTACCAACTTGATTATTTTTTTAAATTTGATTTGTTAGTTTTCTATTATTTAGGAGACAAAATTAAACACACTACTTAAAAATGCTTTATTAAATTATTCTATTTATTAAGAAGTACTTTCAAAAAAATAATGAAAATAATCATTGTAACATAATAGTATTCGTATTATTTGTAACATATCAATGTTTGAGCTGGTAAATTAAATGTGAAATCTTTAGTTTAAATGATTGAGACGTAGAAGTAAATAAACTCCACGTTTAAAAATTGGATTCATAATTGATTCATGTTTTAAATTGATTCATTTTTTTTTTTATAAAGTGTACCTGTCAAGTTTTCATAGTTAATAAACCTTTAAAACATGAATCAATCAATCACGCTAAACGAAGATTGATTGATTGATTTATGTTTTAAAGATTTATTAACTTTGAAAACTTGACAGGTACACTTTATAAAAAAAAAAAAAAATAAAATCGAATGTCTAAAGATAGGATCAAAAAATGGCATTTAAAAATATTTGCTGGCGTTGAAAACAAAAAAAACATTGTGTTCAAAAGTAATAAGTCAAAAATTCTGTAAGAAGACTAGCAAACAACCTTTCAGCTCTCGGGTTCCTCATTCTTTTGTTTCGTGCATCTCCGATTTCAGGCAGGTTGGTCCATTCGTCCAGAGTCACTCCAGACAATTCTCTCTTAAAATGTGGGTTTTAAATCTTTAAACAGATAATGAAATCTATTTTACACAGACTTCAGGCATTATTGTGTTATAGCAGACTACCAGAGCAAAGCAGACATGAAAGTTTTCACTATGAACGAAATTCAATAATCAATTTGTTAGTACTGCTTTGCAGCAAGCTCACACAAGATCATAAGAGCGATATAGCTTTGCTATTTCCAACCTACATGAGATTTTTTCTATCAATGTTCCATAATTTGAGTTTATCGGGTTTAAAATGCAAATTATTCAAATTTTTATACTCCAAGTAACTACATGTTTTAAGCAGGGCTTCGAACCGGAACAGAACCGAAAACCTGAAAAAACCGATATTTTAGCCGAAACGAAACTCGGAACTGAACCGAAATATTTTTTGCTTGCCGAACCGAAACCGAAACGAAAAAAATAACGTTCCGGTTCGAAGCCGTTAATATATTTTTTATAACGAGCACTTTTTCAAAAGTCTTTGTTATTTTTCCATGTTTGTATAATATCTTTGATCATTTGTAATCTTCTATTTTTTTTCTTCGCTATTTTATTTCCGTTCCCACGTTGTTTATAATTGTGTTGGAGTTGATGAATTCAATAAATTGATCAAAAAGAGAAGTTAGATATCAGATAAAAGTTTTTCAAAATTTTCGTAAATGTAAACTTATTTATAGAAATTAAGTAAAATTTTTCAAAATTTACTGAATTTGTAATTTAACTTTAAAATTATAGCAAAATTTCTATCTAACGTAAATGAAACATTGATTAAATATTTTTTTATGCTTAAAGATAATTTTATTTTTAAAATTTAGAATGGGACGAAACCTAGAAAACACAAGCAGAGATTTTTTTTCATACAATAGATTAGAGGATAAAAGCACATGTAATATCTGTAAAACGATTTTGAAAGGAAATCACGTTGTCAATTTGGAACGTCATTTGAAACGTTATCATGATGACGAATACGAAAATGTTCAAAAAAAAAGTTAAAGTTGACTAAGAAAGATGATGTAGCAGATACCAGCCATGCAGATAATCAATGTGGTTTGGATATTTTCGTAAAATCAGAGTTTTTGAAAGTCCAATTAAACAAAGAAACTATATTTAAAGCCTGCGTCGAACTTATTACAGTTAATGGATGCTCGTTTGAAATGCTAGAATATTCAGGATTTAGAAAAATATTAGATCCGGTAATTTCTGCTATTGGAAATAATTTTACCATAAACCCCGAAAATGTTAAATTATTAATTCCAGAAACGGCTTCCAAAATCATTTGTAAAATAAGTGACATACTTAGAAAACAAATGATTTCTTTAAAAATTGACACAGCTACTCGATTAAATAGATCAATTTTAGGAATTAATGCACAGATAATAAAAGATGATAAAATAAATTTGTTTACTTTGGGTATGACAGAATTAAAAAATAAACACACTGGGGTATATATTAAAAATATGGTCGAGAAAGTTTTAGATAAATACAATCTTGATATAAAACAAATTTATTCTATTACTACAGACAATGGAGCTAACATGGTGTAAAAAAATTGTAAAGATTTAGTAAAAAAATTGCGAATTTCATCCCTTATTTTGAAAATGAAAGATTTAAAAATCAAAAGACCAATTTTAGATTGCCCAACCAGATGAAACGGTACCTATAACATGATGAAATCTTTATTAGAATGTAGACAGTTTAGTTCATCCTTGGCAGAGAGTAATCTAGATTACTATTTTCATGAAAACAAATGGATGAAAATAAATTTAATAGTTGACAGCCTCCATCCACTATTTGAAACAACTTTAAAATTACAAAGTGAACAGTTAACTTTGAGTGATTTTTATGGTGTTTGGATAGAGTGTAAACTTAAATTAAAAAATTTTTTTACTGAAATTTTACTTAAAAATTTAGATGTCAGAGAAAAGATTTTATTAAACAACGAAAGTTTATTAGGATTAATTTATCTAGATCCAAGATTTCAAATATTGCTTACTCTGCAACAAAAATCTCTAGCAGTACAACATTTAAAATTGGTTTGGAACAAATTAAAGTTTTTAGAAAAAATTGATTTATCACTTAGTTCTTCTTTGGAAGTTTCGTCAAGTGAATCTGTTGAACTTGAACCATTGGATGATTTTGAAGTATTTTTAAAAAACAAAGAAGAAATGACGACTGCCTATAAATTTTCTTTATCAGCAGCTGATGATGTTGATATAGAATACCTTTTGAAAGAATTTGAACACATACCAAGGTTAGAAAGAAGAAAATCTGTTATCAGTTTTGGGGAGAAAATAAAGATAAATATCCTCAACTATACAAAATAGCTAAAGAGATTCTTGGTGTACCGGCTACACAAGTGAGTGTAGAAAGATCATTTCCCGGATTAAAATTTATACTTAGAGATTGCAGAAACAGTTTGAATGAAAATACATTAGAAGACATTTTATTAGAGGAAATTTTCATCTGTTTTAGTCATTGTATATAAATATATACTTTTGTTTTCTGAGAAATGTTGTGCATTTTTATACTTTGTTTCCATTTGCTGGCTAAAAAAATATTTAAACACATTTTTTTGTATATTTAGAAACTTAAAAAATTCATGACTAATAGTTTCTTAATGAGTTGAAATTTAATTAACAATGATATGTCAATAACTAGAATATCCGATACACGCGATACCGGCAACATTTACAATAACGCAATTAAATATAATTAATTAAATATATTTGCCCGCAAATTTATTAGTGCGCTCCACCACGTAATGTCAAAGAAATTCACCTTACATTTCTTGTCTGGAAGATAATTAATTTTTTTTCGCTAAGTTTCGTGATTATTGCATTCAGAATTATTTGTTACGGAATTTTTAATTTAAAATTTTTTATTAAAATTGAAAATTAATTTGGCTTCTTATCAATAATTTTACATCATTTTATAAGTTTTCTTTACTTTGCTTTACAAATTTGTGCCAGTAGGATTGTGATGACCATTTACAAAATTTAATAACTTTGATGGGCAAAAACGTTTCCCGGAACTGAACCGATAACCGGAACCGAACCGAAATTTTATCTGGAACGAAAACTGGAACTGAACCGAAATATATTTTGTTAGTCGAACCGAAACCGAAAACCGGAACGAAAAAAATTACGGTTCGAAGCCCTGGTTTTTAGCTTATGGATGGGACATTTAAAACTGCACTTATTTTTAAAATTTATTGTTTATGTGTTGATGCAAAACAAAAAAGAACACACGTATAACAAACTATTTGAGACATTAGCTTTGTTAATTCTTATTAAATACTTAATATCAGATGAAATAAAACTACATAACGGTGCCAGTGCACATTTGCAGATTGGTTCATGGAATATTTCTGTTGCAGTTTATATTGCTGTTTGGAACAGCTTGCCGCCATCATTGATTGGATTAGGACAGGACTTTTTCTCAAAACAATTAAGAAAGAACTGGAAAGATTTTTATTTTCTGCTAAACCTTAATAAATTGTTTGCAACAGAGTCAATGATTCGCTACAGGCTCACTTTCTTTAAATCTTCATATACTCCTTCCAATCATATCCAGGTTTATTAATTTATATTTCTATAGATCTACCTCTCTAATAAATTTCTTTCTATTTTTCTTTTGAATGCTCTCTTTTCGATTACTGGTGAAAAGAAGAGTAATTTGAGTTGGCGACCGAAATATAAATAGCCTCTGTACTTTTATGGAAAGTGATGTTATTACATCAAAAAAAATTTATTAACCTTGAGGTCAGAAAACTGCTGCTGAATTTTTGGTCTTTCTTGACGATATTTTTCCAATTCTTCTTTCATGCGTTTTTCTCTTCTCTCCTTTCGTTTCTCATCCATGCGACTGTCAATGCTGAAGTATATTTCGTCAGCTTCTTCGTCATCTTTGTCATAAGGATCTCTCGCACAGATACTACCTCCATAACCTTCAAACTTTCACCAACAAAAAAAAGGTATTTAAATATTTCTTGAAACTGCATTGATGACAAAAAGACTTAAATGCTTTTTCTGAATAAACAAGCTCACCTCATCGTAGTTAGCATCATTGAGATCTTCCTCTTCCTCTTCATCATCTTTTTTCTTTTTTGAAGGTGGAGCATGCCTTTCCTCCCTTTTAAATTAAAAAATATTCTGTAAGCCAGTTAACTACAATACAACAACACACGTTTAGACGACATTTTCCCCGAGATCGGGGGTTGCCGTTTGGCTACCTATGATGAAACCGAAATACCCCTCGACGCCATCCACATCTGTCACTTGCCTCAGTATTACGCAACCCCGCTATCACCCTGTCCTTCTCCACCTGCTCTCTCCACCCCAATCGCGGACGACCCCTTCCTACCACTCCTTCAACCTCGAACTCCAACGCTCGCCTAATCCCGACCCTTTCATCCCTTCTCAACACATGTCCATACCACCGCAATCTCGATCTCCTTATCAATGTCACAATGTCCTCATTCAGTCCCATCATCGACATCAGCTCTGTATTACTCCTCCTATCCTTCACTTTAACCCCACACATCATCCTCACCATAGCTCTTTCAGCCCTCTGCAGTACACTTTCCTCCTCTCTCCTCAACACCCAAGTTTCACCACTATATACCATCGCTGCTCTCACACATGCTTTATATACCCTCCCTTTCATCTTCACTGACCATTTCTTTCCACAAAATACCCCACCCAGTTCCCTAAATTTCATTCATCCCACACGAACTCTAGCCGTAACTGCGCTCAAACATCCTCCATCCGCGTTCAGCTTATCCCCTAAGTAAACAAAGCTTTCCACTCTTTCAATACCACCACTCAACCCCGTCCTTGCGTCCGTCCTATTAATCACACCATGAACACATTTCTTACATTTGAACGTGCCTTCCACCTTTTTCAGTGCCACCCTCACACCACTACATCTCTTATGCACCCATTTCTGACATCCTATACACAATACCGGGTTAGCCTTCACTCTCCTGTCACATATCCCACAGGGGTCTATTTTACTTATCACTCGCTCCCCACCTTCCCCACTCACCATTACCTTTGTCTTACCAATATTAACTTTTAACCCTTTCTTTTCAATAACACTTTTCCATCTGTCAAATTTTAACTGCAATTCTTCCATGCTATCAGCCATCAAGACTAAATCATTTGCATACAAAATCTCAAATAACAACCCCTCCATTATGTTTCCACACACAACATCCATCACAATTGCAAACAGAAACGGTGATAACACTGATCCTTGATGCACCCCTACCTTAACACTAAAAGCGTCCGACATCCCCCTTCCAACCCTCACCTTTGTCTTTGCCCCTTCATACATCACAGCTTTAACAAGTCTCTCATTCACTCCTTTCTTCCTCAACGCACATTCAATGACGTTCCTCGGTACTCGATCAAAAGCCTTTTCTAGATCCACAAAACACATATACAATCTTCGTTTCTTCTTTCTATAATTCTCCTGCAACATTCTCACCATGAACAACGCATCCACCGTTCCCCTACCAGGCATAAACGCACACTGCATTTCATTAACTGTCACCATATTTCTCAACCTCCTCTCAAGCACCCTCTCCACTACCTTCATTCCGTGCTCTAGCAATTTCACACACCTATATGACCCACAATCTCTCACATCTCCTTTGCCCTTATACAACGGCACCAACACACTGTGTCGCCAATCCTCAGGTATACCTTCATCATCAAACATACTGTTAGCAATTCTCATCATAACTTCAATTCCTATAACCCCACTCGCTTTTATATGTTCTGCCGCCACTTCCGAAACCCCTGTCGCCTTACCTAGTTTCATTTCTCTAACTGCTTTCTCTACTTCCTACATCGTCACCTTCTCTATAGGTCCGTGTGTGACCGCGGATTTCACATCTCCATCCCACTCATTCTCTTCATTTATCAACCTTTCCATATGAGCTTTCCACACCTGAGCTTTTTCCTCCTCATCTATGCACAACTTGCCAGATCCATCCCAAACACATCCATTCCCTATAACATCTTTCCTATCCCTCATTGACTGCTTTGCTACTTTGAACATTTTCCTCGAACTCACATCAAATTCCATTTCCTTCATTAACCTATCTGATGCTTTCGTCATTGCAGATGCCACTGCCTGTTTTGCAACCTTCTTAGCCTTCCTATACTCAGACTCCACTTCCTCCGTCATGTCCCTTCTCCATACCCTAAACCTCTCCTTCTTGACCTCCAAAACCCTTCTTATATCTTCATCCCACCACCACGTCTCACCATGCCTACACTTTCCTTTCGTCCATCCACATACTTTATCTGCCGTAGCCAACAGACAGTCCCTGTATCTCTCCCAAACATCTCCATCCTTACCACTCCCAATTTTCAGCCACCTTCACTTCAAATGCCTTCCTCACCTCTGCATCTTGCAACTTCCATGTCTTTCTCTTTGCCACAAACTTATCCTTCTTCCTCCTCCCCATTTCTTTTGATGTCACATCCATCACAACCATACTATGCTGCAGCATACCAGGTATCGCCTTCACATTCTTCACATACTTCCTATGTTTGGCCCTTACCAATATATAGTCTATCATTGACCTATGCTCCCCTGACCTATATGTAATCAATCGCGCTGGTTCCCTTGTAAACCAGGTATTCCCCACCACCATGCTATGTGCATCCGCCAACTCCAACACTCTACGCCCTTCCTCATTCCGTATACCATATCCCCATCCCCCATGTACACCTTCATATCCGTCTGCATCCGCCCCCACATGACCATTCAAATCACCCAACACCACAAACCCATCCAAGCCAGTTAACTACAATAAAATCGAATATTCATTTTGCAAGTTTGCAAATATTTCTGTACAACACCGATGTGCCAGCTCAATAAAATCTTGTTCAAGAATTTGTATCACATATAACAAAATATTGACCATGAGTTGGAAAGTAATAACATTACCGACTCAGTGAATAAGAGTTGAAAAGAACTAACACTGCCAGCATATTAACAAGCACTCGGAAAGCAATAGCATTACCAACATATCAGGTGAAAAAATTAAAAATGAGCGGTAAGGTGAAAATGAAAAGATAATAAAATTTAAATTGAAGCTGAGTTAAAACAATTAAATAATGATTCTGGATAGAGGGAAAATTATGCAGTTTAATATTTATTGAATGAACTGAAAAGAACGTTTCTTACGGAATGTCATCAGCATCCCTGGCTGGACCAATATCCGATCTTGTTGTAAAACCAGTTGCTCTGAAAATTTATTGAAGAATTGAATTCAAATGAGGAATATTAAAATTTCACATAACATAAATAAAATGAAACAATGATGATAGTTAATCAATTTAATAGTTCAAAATAAAAAATAAATCCATTTTGAATCAACATTTCAGAAAAAAAGTTGCTTCAAAACGATCGTAATTAAACCATTTATCAGTTGAGGACGAATGCACGTATACGTCAATGCAACAAACAGTGGTATTTGTTTAAATGAACTGAGTGAATGCAACGAACAGTTAAAAGTATAATAAAATCCTTGCCTTCACGCATTCATCTTCAACTAAAGATCACAATGCGGAACTGAAAAGAATTACTAAACTACTGCAATGCAAATGACTAACCTACTGAAAAGCAATGGTTACAAAGCATCATCCACCGAAAACACCATACAACAGAGACCACCACAGCAGAATAACAATATACTCAAAAACAGCAATGACAACAACATATTCCTATATTACCGAGATCATATTTATATTTATATAACACATTTATATTTACATTTATATAGCGCTTGTTATAAATGAAAATCTCTTAAAAGCGCTCTCACCAATTCCATACACAATGTTAATGAAAACAGAACAGAAAATTGAAATAAAATCCATGTCATGTTTATCAACAAAATGAATCAATCAAGTGATGTTTCTGTTTTCTTTTTTGACTTGGTTGTTGCTTGACAAACTCCAGCCCCGATAGATCTTGACATATTCCAGCCACGATCTATCACTAGTCATCCACATATTTGACATCTACGCACAAACGAAAAAAAGTTGATGGGTGCAAATCATTCGGTCTGTCCTCGCTCATCCTCTTCTTGAAAGCAGGGTAACGCGATAAAGCTTCAAGTGACTGACTGAGGTAATCAAGCACATCAGCCGCCACAAATTTAGTGACTTTAAATATTCTTGTACGAACAAAGACTTTACTCGTTGAAATTCTCGATTCGTCAGAAGGCTTCGAACTAACAATTACTTTAGAAGATATATATACAATAAATTATTCCATGAATCTGACAAGGTATTTTTTTTTACAAAAAATTGTCTTCAAAAATAACTCAAAAAATTTTTTGCAGAAAATTACATTATGGCCTTGGTCATATAACAATGTTTGGTGATTTTATTTTAAAATTAAAAATGCATGTAAAAAGAAATTCTTACCCTCTCCCTAATCCTGGTACATAACCTAATGGAGCAGCCAATCCAATGAAGGTTTTCTTCTTTTTATCCACTAGTGATTGAACTGCAGCCATTAAGAATCTTTTTAAAGAAAAAAATTTTTAAAAACAACTTAACTAAAACTTTTTAAGTTTCATAATAATTATACACACAAAAGTGACAATGTATATCAAAGCTGAGTAGAACTATCTTGAAGTCCGCATTTGCATGTTTGCTGGCTCAAGTAAGAGTGTTCATGTTGCTGCTAGGTATAGACGAGCTGAGATAAGAAAATGAGACTAACAATTCGTGCAACTCTTTCTTATTAAATTACATCAATCTTTGGCGGATCGAAGCAGCAGCATCATGGGTATCTGAACAGTTTCCACTAAAATTGCTTTGGCACCTTCATAGAGGGAGAGGTTAGAAAAGGTATCTTAAACGTAGTCTGCTTCACCTTAACCTTGATCAGCTCACTATGATTGTTAAAAATCTCATTAGGCTATTAAAATTCAAAAATAAAACAAAAATACTTATGGTAAGTGCCTACAAAATGTGAATTATGTTGGAAAACGTCAAGGTTTTATAAGCCACAATGAAAAACAGCATTGGTTACCAGAGAGCTTAGGCACTACAATGTGGACATAGTGGCACTCAAATCATCCAACTTGAGATAATGAGATAATCAAAAAACGTGGTTTAGAAAGTGTAACAGCAATGGCCTTCTACTTCTTAAAGCAGGTGTTACACATGACCTTTTGATAACCAATACTCTCTCCCGTATTCCTAACTGCAACAAAAAAACTAGTATAAATCCTCGTTCAGGGCATTGATATCTGACTAAGTCACTACGAAAAGAGATAAACAAACGAGATGTCGAGTCACCAGAGTTATGTGCGGTGCTGATTGTTGGACTGATTCGTCACAATATGTCTAAATTTCAACTTAACATCAACCTTGTAAGAAGATTCAAAGGTAAAAGATGAACAAAAAAATCCAGCGTATCTGAAATGTATAGTAGCAAACATGCAAAATAACTTGCCAGCGACCTAGATGGCAGACAATCAATCAGCTCCTACCTCTGGAAAACAACCCAAAAACACTAGGCCTAACTTTTGATACGATGCTATCCTTTTCACATCACCATAAGTTGACAACATCAAAGACCTCCAAACGCAACAACATCCACAAAGCAATAAGTGCAACCACCACATAGAAACTCTGTTACAAACCTATAAAGCTATCGGCCGTTCAGTCATAGAGTATGCTTATCCTGCTTGGTCTCTGCTGACATGGGACTCCAGCATCAATCAACAACAACATTCACAGATAGCAGCTTTACGGGTGATCACTGGCTGCCACAACATTTCATCAGAACATCTGCTCTCCTAGTGCCAGATGCTCTCCGTGAAACAGCATTCGGACCTTTCTCTCTTCTTAATACTTCTTAATACTATTGCAGCATACCCTACAGTGCTACAGTCCGCAGCACCCTTGCCACGCCATTCTAACACGCCTCCTTACCGCAACATTCAAAAATGTCACCAACAGTACAATCAATACTCCCCCACCAGATTGACGCGTGTGTGTTGGCGAAAGTGGTGGATATAATTGAATTGTTGGGATCAATCCTGTGTTGTTGTATCAAAGAAAAATTCGCATTGGAGTGGGGACTCTGGTTGCTTGTTTCTTCGATCACGTCGGGGTCACCAATTTGTTGCGGTTGCGCTAATGTATGAAAACAACAAGCCAGGAAGAGCAGTGAGCGGGAGTGAAAAGAAAAAAGAGTAGTATTCGTTTGGACAGGCTGGACAAGACTGAAGAGTCGATTGAGTACAAGAAAAAAATGCAGTCTATTGTTGATGCTTTTATAGATGCAAACTTGCCACTGACAATTTTAGACAGGAAAAAAATGCAGACCATGTTCAAAACTCTAGATCTAAAACTGAAATCTCCAGGTTAATTTTTTAATTAAATTAAATAATTTTCCAAGTAAAAATTTAAGATCTTGACATTATATTATATCATATGATAAAAAATGTATTCTTTATTTTAAAAAGGACAAAATTACATAGAGAAATTGAGACTGAGCGTTGCAACATTTATGAAAAATCTTATAAAATGAGTGGCAGATTGAACAAAACAAGATTCTTCCAGTAATAACAAATAATGGGTCAAATATGGTGAAGGCAATAAAAGAGCTCAATTTGACAAATGAAGTTGATGATAAGAGTGAGGATGAAGATGAAATGAACATGAAGATAAAATGAAATTAGTTGTAACGATGCTATAAGACGTGCAAATCGAACGGCGAATTAAACGTTATAAGGCATGAGAAGCCCGCACGGAGAATTGGACGTTATAAGTCACTTATAGGGCGAATACGACGAAATTATATGTCGTGAGGAACCCGCATGTCAAATTCAATGTCAATAGGATGCGATAAGACGTGCAAATCGTTTAGACTGTGTAAAATGTGAGAATCGCACGACAAATTCGACGTTGAGATGGCTGAAATTTGTACAACAAAGTCAATGCTACGTTGACAATACAAGACGCTAAGTCGAAGCTCAAAATTTGACGTCAATTAAGACAATATAAAGCATCCGGCATCCATATTTATGTTTAAGGGATGATAATTTTAAAAACAATAAGTAATTTGTAACATCAAGTATCATATGGTAACAAATACAAACACACAGATATATTTATACAGTAATACAAACAGGTACATTATTCATGTGTTAAGATGTAACAACTACCTAAAGGCTCAAGTAAGCTAATGTTATATTAACGCTGGTGACAAAACCATGGCCCTTCATGTCAACACATGAGCAGTGATACCAGTTTATACAGCCATCACACTGTACCCACAAAGTAAGAGTTTGGTTGTCTCTCCCAGATTGCCCAGCACAGTCATTATGTGTGAATGAGCGTGAGCATGATGCTACAGCTGTAAAAAAAGTGGTCAGTCTAATTGGCTGTCTTGCAATCCGTAGATAATGAAACAAAATTATTCTTAATTTAATCAAAACAAATTGTTTTAATATAATTTATATATTAAATAAAAATAATGCAGTAAATTGCAACAATATTACAAAATATAATAGCCGACTTGAGATAATTATTAATGAACAGAGTATTTGGCTTTTTATTAAAGAAACCCAATTTTTCTTAATTTAATTGAAACAAATAGTTATAATATAACTGAAAAACTAAATTGTATTAAAATAATGTGGTATATTGTGCTGTATATAATATCTCAAAATATAGTGGCTGACTTTTCACGAAAACACAAATTTTCCTCTTTTAATCAACACAACTTATTAAAATATAAATGAAAAACTATTCAAAATATGTATTTGAACAAAAAATAATGTTAAAAAATTGAAATAATGTATTAAATTGTGCTTCTGTGAAAAGTCAGCCAAATACTGAGTACATTAACAAACATCTTAAGTCAGCCACTATATTTTGTGATATTGTTGGATGTATCTCATTATTTTAATACAATCGGTTTTCAAAAACATATTATTAATAATATATAAATTAAATTAGAACAATTTGTTTCAAAAAAATTAAGAAGAATGGTGTTTCAATGAAAAGTCAATCAAATACTGCGTAGGCTAATAAACTTCTCAAGTAAATCAATCAATCAATTTTCGTTTAGTGTCCTGAGACCCAGTTCCCCGAGGTAGGACGTTGTTTTCTTTGCCATCCATTTTTTGCGCAAAATTAGACGATCAGTTGTATCCATTTCATTTAAATTTAGAGCTTTAATGTCTTGCTCGATTGTTTGCGACCAGGACTTCTTTGGACGGCCTTTGGGACGTGTGACAGGTACTTCAACATCTGCAAGAGGAGTTATGGCACTGTTTCCACATCGTTTGACATGACCAAACAACCGCAGACGGTGTTGCCGGCATTCGTCCTTTATATCATCTAAACTAGCACGACGCAGGATTTCGGTAGATTTGATGTGGTCCTTCAGACTAATTCGTTGCATCCATCGGAGCATTTTCATGTCGGTTCGTTGAAGTTGTTGTTCCAGTTTGGTTGTCATTGGCCTTGTTTCTGCACCATATAACAACACCGAACGTATCACAGATTTATAAAGTCTTGATCGTAGTGGTAGTGGATGTCACGCCGCATCAATATATAGGCAAGGAGATGCCATTTAATCCAGGCTGCACGTGTGCGTGCTCGAACGACAGCTTTAGCGGTTCCAGTACAATCCAGAACATCCCCTAGATATTGAAAAGATGTGACTTTCTCTACCTCAATGGCTTCAAAAACATTGCTATTTCGAATTTGTTGTTGTGAATTGATGCAAGCAGGACAAACAAAATTGGACCCTTTAGATAAAGTACCAATTATTTTTGAACAACGTTTGTGATACCACTGGTTACACTGCTGACATTTGATTGAATTGTTACCTACGCCATCTTTAAAAACTGAACAGGGCCATCGTCCAGTAGCTGTGGATTGGATGGGTTCACCAGTGTTCATTGCTTTAGTTTTGCTGATGTTGACTTTGAATCCATAATCGGCGAGTCTGGTGTTCCAATCTTCAAACATCTGTGCTGGATTCTGCTCAGACGTGGCTGTTAAAACTATATCATCAGCATATATTAGATTCAAAATGTCACCAGTGCGTATCGGTTTTGTGATTTCTTCCATCACAGTTATAAATAACAGTGGACTGAGGATAGAGCCTTGGTGAACTCCAACGCCGATGTCAAATGCATTTGTGTTTCCAACCGTTGTGTTGACGAGAGTCTTAGTATTCGTATACATTTCCATCACAAGTCGAACAAGATATTCTGAAATGAGTTGTCGACGTAGACTCCACCTGATTGCTTCACGGGGAACTCGATCAAACGCCTTTTCAAGGTCTACAAAATGTGTGAAAGTTGTTGATGCTTTGCGAGGTACTTCTCTTGCAGTTGCCGAAGGATGTGAATAGCACTTCACGGCAAATTTGTAGTAACGTTTGGATACCTGCAGTACCAGATGCTTTGATAACATCATTTGCGAGTCCAGAGGGTCCTGCTGCCTATCCATCCTTCATAGCTTTCAGAACTTCTGTTCTTTACAGTGACGTCTATGGTTCTCTACAGTAAGCTCCTCTACAGTGATGTTTGGAATCGGACCTTCGATGGGTGGAGCATCAAAGTTAACATTGGTGGGATTTGACAGACGGTTGAAGTATTCTCTCTACTGTAGCTTGATCTCATCTTGTTCAAGAACCATCTCATTTTTGTCGTTTTTGATAAATGAGGCACCAACTATGTCTTTTTTCGTACGCTTTGCTTGTTTTGCTATACGATACAGAGATTTCATTTGTTCACCTTTGCTTTTAGTGAGCCACTCTCTGCACTGATCTGTCCGAGCCAGTGCGACTTGACGTCTTGCATAGTTGTTCTTCTAACGGTATATTTTATGGTCATCAACAGACTTTGATTTTTGCCATTGCTTGTATGCAGCTTTCTTTTCAGCTATTGCATTTTGTACACTGTCATTCCACCACCAAGGGTCCCGTTAATGCTGACGTTTTGTACCAGTCTTCACACAAAGTGTAGTAGCAGCGTTTATCAAAACGATTTTGAATGTACTCCAATTTGTACTGGCTTGCGATTAGTGATCTAACTGTGTGGCGACAATCTGCTAAAATTTTTCTCAATGAATATTGCTTTTCAGCTTTCTCGTCTTGATTCTTCGAGGCATTTTTAGACTTACGTTGTGGCAGTTTGACAACCAGGTCTGCCATAAGGAGTCTATGTTGGGCGACACATGATTCGCCAGGTATAACTTTGATATTTTTGAATAGCCTTCGGTGTTGTTGCTTGACAGCGAAGAAATAAATTTGCGTGGCTGTCGGTTCACTTTTGTATGTTATGAGATGTTCCAACCTCTTTCTAAAATGTGTTCAGCAAACACAAGGATGCGGTTGCCATGTTCATTCCTTTCTCCATAGCCAAAACCGCCATGTACATTGTCAAAACCATCTGTTTTCTTTCCAACGTGGCCATTGAGATCGCCTCCAATCAGAATTGTTTCAGATTTTGGTATTGTTGAGATGGTGTCAGAAAATGCAGCCCAGAAGTCATTTTTCATCTCTTCTGATTCGCCTGTCTGTGGTGCGTATGCAGAAAAAATAATCATTGTTTGCTTTTCTAGGCGAAGCTTAATTTACATGAGAAGTGAATTAATCCTTTTAATATCCAGTACTTCTTGGGTTCTTTGACCTAAATTCCAACATCATTTTTGGCCGTCTTTTGACCAATCCAGAATAGTTTATATTTTCTCATGTCAGCCAGTTTATGTGACATTGTATGTTACATATTTGATCAAATACATATTTTTAATAATATATTAAAATAAATAATACTGCAACAAATTGTTTTCAATATCATTATATTATGTTATGAAAAATAATTTTTTCACGTGTTCATTCACTAATAAGATTAGTCAGCCAATATAGAATATTTATTAGTTATGTGATGTTGCCATAATATAATGTTTTGCATCATTTTAAAATAAATTTGAAAAATTCATTACAATGTGTTTGTATCACTGCATCAAGATCAGATATATATATATATATATATATATATATATATATATATATATATATTATATTATCTTTGGCATGCAAGTCACCCAATTAGTCTGATCTGGAAAAAAGTTAATTTAAATGTTTAAAAGTTAAAATACTAACCTAACCCTAACCCCAACTAAAATACTAACCCTAACGCTAATAAATTAACTGTTTTATAGCTAGGTAAAACGTGAGATCGGTACTCCTATGGTATCGTCCATGTTTACAAACTATCGCAATGTACTTTTAATAAATAAATTGACTCAGCCCGCGTTGAAATGTCTAGTGCTTGATTATTTATTTATATTAAATTGAAAATAATTTAATACAAGTTAATTCTTAGGTAAGTTTTTTAGATCATCAGAAAATAGTGAGCATTAAATAAAAAAATGTTGAAATATGAGTAAATTTAATTCAAATTTAAACGGTCGACTCACAAACGTTAAATACTCACGGTTTTGACAAATAATTAAAATTCACACAAAAAAAGATAACGTTTTTGATTTTACATAAATTTATTTGACTTTATTAAAATTAAAGTATTTACATGATGTACAAAACTAAAAATGATGTTAAAAATATTTATTTGAAAAAAATTAAAGTATTTAAACGATGTAAAAAAAACAAAATATTGTTAGACTTAAACAGTATTTATACTGGATAGTATGTATGGATAAGCTCTAAAGCTTTCATCAGAAATTCATCAAGATATGATGACATGTGGTCATTACATGTGCCATTCATCCGTTTTATTTTATGTTTGGCGCACCGCCAAAGGTTTTCGACTCCGTTGGTGTGGACCCCATTAGAGGCCACAAAGCTTATAGAGTGGTTAACAGTTAACAGTAGCTGCCACGATGTTGTTATATGCAGTCCACTGATCAGACCAAATGGTTGTACCTGTTAGTAAAGTAATTATTAATGTTAACTATTATGAATAATAATAAATAATAGTTAACCTGAATTTCTATTTTTAGGTAGCAATGTGGTTGCATCCCTTCTATCAACTTCCACTAAAAAAGCCTCTTTGGTTACAGAATCAATTCCGCCAAAAACCCAACAAGGACGGATCGGTCTGGCCATGCCATTTCTACTTCTTTTGGCCCTTGTAATACATGTCTCGTCGATCTAGACAATATGACCGGGACCACCAATTCCGATTGGATATCTCTAACCCAATCAGTGCAGAAATCCCGGTGGAAATTGAACCAGTCCGGTATAGTTCTTAGTGCTTAGACCTGTTATTTGGGCTACCGCAGCTTGGCTTACGTCGCCCTGCGACCAGTAGTATGTCAGCTGTAAAATAAAATTCATGTCCTTTATATTTTTTATGTCCATTTATTAATATATCGGTAAGTTATGCCGATTTATTTATTTATTCATTTAATGTATAATCAACTAAAAAAAATAAAAAAATACTTTGTACTAACTAATAAACATTTTGTCAGAGGGATTCTGCTTTTGGTATAAAAGCTTCCGTGGCGAATACTTTTTGTAGCCTTACATCTCCAGTTTGAACACTGCCACAAAAAGCCATCTAAGGAAACGTGATTTCCTAATTCCATAGGGGACCCGCATTGGCACATCATTTGACTTGCTAGAAGACCATGTCGCATAACCCATGTTACGGCCTCCTCCTTTTCAGCAAAATTTCTCATCATTTCACTTAAACTTAAAGGTACGCCGGCAACGTGAGTCGACCGTTTAAATTTGAATAAAATTTACTCATATTTCAACATTTTTTTATTTAATGTTCACTATTTTTTAAAGATCTGAAAAACTTACCTAAGAATTAACTTGTATTAAATTATTTTCAATTTGATATAAAATAAATAAATAATCAAGCGCTAGACAATTCAACACGGGCTGAGTCAATTTGCGATTGTTTGTAAACATGGAAGATACCATAGGAGTACCGATCTCACGTTTTACCTATAGCTAAGCATCATGCATGCCATATAATTCATAATTAACACAACAGCATTTGTCAATCAAATTAAAAGAGAATAAAAAATCAATTGAATGATAAAAAAATTAGATATATGAACTACACTAGACTATAGTATACTATTTTATTTGACCAAAACACAAAATTTTGAGAACTTACCATAAAATTTTGCAGAACAGAAATCCACTAATAACAGTACTACCAACAATATTTTCAATCGAGCGTTAGAAAAATCAGATTAGCAATAAATCCTATTTGCAAGTTTCATGGAAGGTTGATGCATTTTGCATAACCAAAAACAAAAATTAAATTGAATAATAATAATAATGTGAGTTTATGCTGTGCGCAGTAACTGCTTTGTCTTTAAACGTTAAAAAAATTAAACACTAATAATTGCTGCCGCCAGTCTAAGCGGTCTTGCATCTGGCAAAAAAACTATTTTGCCCAGTTTACCAGTAGGTTATCGGCCTTGATAACAGTCGATAAGTCTTGTTCTGACAAATTTGTCAACTTTTAAAGAAGTCAAACATAAATTATTTGAAACACGTTTATTAAACAAATAAACTATTTTAAATACATTGAATCAAATAAAGATATATGTATGGGCATAACCAAATAAATTAATTCGCATATTTAAGTAAAAAAAAGTTATTTTTGTTTTTAATCTGTTTAATTTTTTTTCAAAATGTATTTAAATGTTACCAATAAATATTTAAATATTTATGTATTATAATTTATTTACTAATTTGATTTTATGTATAATTTATTTTTCAAAACTACCATTGTTTTTCTATCAGTTTGAGTTGTTGTAGTTGGCGGTCCATTTTGCACATTCTATGTTTTCTTTAAACTAACCCGCACTCAGTGGTGTCTATGATATATATATATGATCACCATCTCTTCATGTGGAAATATTTATTACGATGTCGGATTTTGCAAGTTTTCATCAAAAAATTTTTAAAAATGCGATTGCACGGATTCTGTTTGAAGTCGGATGTGATAAGGCCAGCGAGCAATGTTTATCAGTCCTGATGGAACTTTTAGGATGCTGTAAGTTTTTCGTTTTTATTATTGTATATACTATATAATTATATATAATTATTTATAAAAATATAATATAAATAGTATTAAATTGTGTATTATAAATGTGTAATTTTATATAAATTTAAATTTTTAAACAGTTTGTTTAGACTTACTTTACGTTGCACAAGATTTATACTATAGTTTTATACAATTAGAATTTACTTTGATTTAATTAAATTTTATAAAAATATTTACACGCTCATGTTACAATCACATGCATAATTCAAACACTGCTCATTCATAATATATCAATTCATAGAATTTTTGCTAAGTAGAGTATTTCTTTTTATAAACTTGTTAGTTATAGAGAAATTATTTTCATTCTCCGAAAACAGTTTTATGTGTAAAATTCCAAGGGACATAAGAAAATTTGTTTATACTAAATAAACTTTTATAAATAATAATTTGTCTTAGATTTGTATGAACTTGGTCGAAGTACAAAGGCTGTGGCTGAATTGGCAGGTCGAACTGAACCTCTTCTGACTGACGTCATAATTGCTCTTGCTGAAATGGGTGAGTATTTTCGTTGAAGCATTAACTCCATTCAACAGTTGATGATTCTTCACCTCATACATGTTTGATAACAATATTTCATTATTTGTTAACAGGTCAAAATGCTAATGATGTTGTTACCTTTGGAAGACGTTCTACACAACTTCCTTTCAACAAATGTTAGCTTACAATGACCAGTGATTATTACTTATCATGAAAGCATTTAACAAGCAACAAAAGCTGAGCTTAGTTTGGCATGTGTTGACAACTTTTGAGTCTAAAACTACCTGAAATAGAAGTTAAACGAACACGTATTGTTTCAGTGAAACTTGAGAATTTTTAATAAAATTTAGGCTGATTCAATGAAATGTAGGCACCAGTGATGTTTAAAGTACTTTTTCCAAGTATGATTGATTACCCGAATCTCAATCTAAGTACCAAAAAATAAATTTTTCAAATAAAAATACAAGTCTTTTAGTAAAGGATAGTGACATAAAAATTATGCTATTAAGAGTCCAATTAGAAGGATTTAGACAATTTTGTGGTGGTTGCATGCACAGGCTGACATAGTTTGCTCTTATATGACTATAATAATGATGGTGTAATTGTTGATTTACACTAAGATTCTGAGCTAATTTTCAATATGGTTATGAGGATGACTCAGTGAATGATCAAGAGGCTGTGGAAAATGTTACTTGGCAGAAGACATTTTTGTAATATGAGTAGAGTGTAGAGTGTAAAAAGTTACCAAAGAATTAAAATAATTCTGGTAAATAGAAGATAAGCTTCATAAACTAAAAATGATTTTAGTTTCTTGCTTTTTGTGATTAATTGTAATTTTTTTCAGTAAAATGATTATTTAGAACAGTTGTGTGCATTTCAAAAAGAATTTTCAACATTTCTCCATATTATAAACAATGCATAAGCACACTTACACACAAAGTTTTTTTGTATTAAGAAACTTGACAAATGCAGATGTAGTTAGTTTAGATCAGATACCCAAGATAGGTCAGTAGAGAAAAAAGAGACAATGAGAGCATTTTGTTGTTGTTCAATCAGTGATATTTATTGAAAATTAAAATTTCTCAGTACAGTTTTCTAGCTCCTTATCAGATGGGAAACGATTACAGGTTGGAACTCCCGAATCACATCCATACCACATCCCTGATTATCTTCCACACTTCCCAGATCCTCATACTTATATAAAAACATTGGTACGTTTTTTATTCAATTCTTAGAGTTTTAAAATACAAACGAAGTTGTTACTTATTTACATGAAAAAAAAGGCGTGAAGATTTAAAAAATTTATTTTATGGATTAATGGTTAATAAAAAATTTTATTTCAGGATTTTGCAAATTAATGTACGCCAATTTAACCATAAAATTTTCATGATTACCTCAATCAAAGTTGCATTTGAATACATGTTTTACACATTACAAGTTCGTTGCATTTCCAATCGTCGTCCTATTTTTTATGCTGCCTCTAAGAACTGCATCTTTTTATCATGCATTAACGACTGGTTGTATTTATACACTTTTTTACACGGGCGGGCGGCGCGTTGGTGTAATGTTTAAGTTGCTGGCACTGCTGATGCAATGACCAGAATCAAAGGTTCGAATGTAAAAAGATCCCCGCCTATCACATGCCAAAGCGTGTGATGCATTGATTCACGTGTATTTACATACTATGTGTTTGTTGTTATGATAATATGCCATGGCGCTTATAAAATGACTATTATTATTATTATTATTATTTATCGAATTCTGTTAACATAAGATGCGTTTATTTTTATATTCATGACTTGTTCAGTTCATTCATTCATCTTCACCATGTGTAAAATGAATGTCGTGAATTTCCATTCACTGCCTCTTTTGGGATTTATCCACTATTGTCTAAGCTAATCTTTTTTTTATATTCTTTATCGTTTCTTTTAATTAGTTTCTTTCAATTGGATATCACGATAAAAAAAATCATCACCTTCATAGACTGGCATGAACTTCATCTCCATACATGCAAAACTTTTTCCGATGTTTTTTCTTGTTAAATAATTGTACGGTGCATTTTTATTGGTTATTTCAGTAATAGTTAATTGTAAAACTTATTATAGTTTTGTTTTATATTTAGTCTGATTTTTAAATTTCAGACATACAAGCCTCCAGTGACAGAGTATCAAATAATTCGTGAAAAAATGGCAGTACAGAAAATGGATACCGAACAAGCATTAACAAAGTTCATAGCCAAAACTGGAAATACAGAAAATCTCTTTTCAGATGATCCTTATGCTTTTCCTTGTAAGCATTTTTAAGGGAAAAATTTAATTACAGTCATTTGTAGTAAAACTTTTTAAATTTTCTTTCAGTGATTGCCAACAAATTGAAGGCTTCCCCGTATTACGAAGCCTTAATGCCGAGAGAAGAAGATTTGAATGACGACGAAATTTTCCCTGTTGCAGAAGAATCATCTGATAAGTCCAAAAATAACCTAATTGGTTCTGATCCTCTCAAACAGTCTCAACAATTTTCAACTAAAATCAAGAGCAATGGAGAATCTGGATATGATATTCCAATAGACAATCCTTATCTAAGACCAATAAAAATGCCAAAAATTAAATTGAACTTGCAGACGTGATTGCTTCTGAAATTTTTAGTTGTGAATACTTCCTTTTCATTTCTTTTATAATTTTATTCATCCTGTTATAATATTTTTAAAAACGTTGAATGTTTGTTGTAATTTTGACATTTGTTTTTTTTTAGTTTTTTATATATATATTTTTTATAATGTATGAATTTTCTGTTACATGGTAAACCTCCATTGAACTTCATTACAGAAATGATGATACATGGTCTTAATTTTGACGGCTGTGATATTTTACTTACAAAATTCATTTTACTTTACTTCTACTTATGTAATTCTTTTTGATTTTACTTTCTTTCTTTTTTACTTACTTTCTGTACAAGTCTTTCTACTTTTACTTTCATTTCACTTTACTTGTACTTTCAATGCAAAAGTTTCATGCCCCATATAATAGGTATATGTATATAAACATGTATATAGATTGTATATAGTAATTTCTTTATTAAAATACAAAACAAAGGCCGTCTAAAGTAAAGGAAGCATTTGTCAAAAAACAAAGTTAAATCTTATGGTTTGCAGCACATACGGATAATGTTATTTCATGTATATGGTTGTCACGCACACCTCCATTCTTAAATTTTTTAAAAAGTAAAATTTAATGTAATTAAATTTTTTTTTAATTTTACTTGCACAAATTTTTTTAGTTTACTCTTACTTTTTCATTACCAAAATTTTTCTGCTTAATACTTAAGCTTCTGTGAATTAAATCATATTTTCAATCAATCAATCAATTAGCTTATAAAGCGCTATTTTCGCGATGTTCAACAGCGCTCCTCAATGAATTTTGAAAACAGATGGGTCTTGAGATCCGCTCTGAACTTCGCAAGTGATGGAGAAGTAGTTAGAGAAGTAGGTAGAGAGTTCCAGAGAAAAGGACCAGAAAAAGCAAAAGCAGATTTGGCAAGAGTGTTTAACACGAGTTAAGAAAAAGCGAGAAGAAGACGATCGTAAACCGGGGCGTTTAGGTTCAATTAATATATCTGATAAATACTTAGGAAATAATTTAGATTGAGACTTATACATGAACGTGCAAATTTTAAAAATTATTCTATATTTTATAGGTAGCCAGTGCAAGAGAACAAGATATGGAGATATATGAGAAAAGAAAGGGGCACGAGCAACTAGACGAGCAGCAGAGTTAAAAGCTTTACTTAAAGGATAGAGTATAGAGTCAGGAAGACCATAGTAGAGCGAGTTAATAATCAATCCTAGATAAGACTAACGAAGTAACAAGAAGGAGAAGAGTAGGATCATCAAGAAAAGGCAAAAGTTTTTTATTCTACGTAGATGAAAGTAAGAGCTTCTAGCAACACTATTAATCTGAGAAGAGAGAGACATAGTAGAATCAAAGATAAAACCTAGACTACGAAACTTATGAGAGACATCAAGAGTTTTAGAATCAGGTAAGATAATAGGAGGAATAGTAATAGAGTGTTTTTTTTTCCTTTACCTTTACTTAAATTAAGTATCGCTGTTGACCGAAAAGGGCTTGCCTCATAAAATAACCACCAGAAATCAATATTCCTTGCTTTTTAAAGGTTCCATGTTTAAAATTTATCAAATAACATTTTTGTGATAACGCGTGTGATAAAAATATCAATACTTTTGAAAATGCTAATAGCGATAGTGTAGGCGAAAATTGTCCCCAACACCAAAACGAATTTTCCAAAGTAGGCGGCATCACCGATAGAGAAAATTTAAAAAAGTTATTATTTATCGCTATTACGAAAAACAGGAAAGTAAGCTTTGTCATTGAAAAACTTACACAAACAACCTGCGCACACTGTTTGCTTAATAAAGGCGTCTATAAAATAATTACATATAATCAAAAAACAAACCATGTTAAACATAAGGCGCAATTTTTTAAATTTGATTGTAAAGTAGCAGCACCGAATACCGAAAGCTTTTTAAGGAATCGACGGTTACCGTTGCCTAGATGTATCGGCGATACCATACCAAAAAAAATATCGGTGAGACCATCGACGTGATAACGGTGTTTCGATATTAAACAACAACTTTCTGATCCCAACGGTAGCAATACAAAATAATGTCAAAGTTCTCGGCGTTTTAATCAAAATGAAGCCTAACTTCAACATTAACGTGCACCTACTATATAAAGCGTCACTTACAATGTTTTTTTGAACATTTAGAAAACTTGAAGGGTAAAAAATTTTATCAGAATGTCAGATCCGTAAAGAACAACATTGGTAAACATTTTGTTAATCGCATAAGAATATTTGGAAGCTTGTAAAAAATTAATTAAGAGTGTTTTCTTCTTTAGATTTAACCAAAAGTAGTTTTTGAAAAACATTTACAATATTTGATGGGCAGTTTTTGAACAAAATCCGAAAATATAAGCACCTGAATAATCATCAAAGCAACAGGCATAACTTATTGCAAAGTTTATCAGGATACATAAAAGTTCAGATATTTGAATCATAATTAAATACTTATTATTTTAATGTAGCATAGCTTCTGGATAGTTCTGTTGATAACGTTAAGATCGAGGACGCATCAGTCGCTTACATCGGGCGGCGTGATGGCCTAGTGGTTAAGGCCACCTGGTGCTGTTTCGCAGTAACCGGGTTCGAATATGACAAAAAGATCCCCGCTTATCACCTACTTCGCGTGTGATGCGTCGTTTAGCATGTATTCATATACGATGTTTGTGCGCTTTGTTGAATCCTCTGAACTTTGGAAGAGTGTAATTGACCTTTAACCTCAAGAGCGACGTTATTATTATCCTAATTATCGTTGCATGTTGCTGCTCTGTAAATGTAGGTTTATATTCGATTTTCATTACATTTTTTAAAATTAAAATTATCAGCAAGTTATTTTTGTTAATTTTCTTTGTGCTAAAAATAGAATGGACGTTTAAAGGGAGAAAAACACTTTAAGAAAGGTTGTTTCACGTTACACATGACCATAACGTATTGTATAATTGTTTTTATGAATATATGTATCAGAGTTAGACAAATTTTTTCATTCATAACGCAAAATTATTAAAAAAATTTAACAAGTAGTTTTTTTTTACAAATATTTTTTATTCCAGCAATTAATGCCAACTGAATTTTTGAATAAATTTTAAACATTATTTTTCATTACTACGAACAACACAATTTAAATTAGCATCACAACAATTGGAAATGCAAGATGCTAAGCAAGACAAAAGCTTCAAACCACTGAAAACTAAGCTGTAATAACAGACGTTTTTAATTCAAGTAGATAATTGTTCAAATTTCAAAAACCGTTCAATTAATTATTGAAATCATGAAATCATTTAGTTTAACACGAAATTTACAACTAGTTATTCATCCTCCTCCTCTTCTTCTTCTTCTTCCTCCTCCTCCTCCTCCTCTTCTTCCTCAATTTCATATTCTTCTGTGTCTTCATCTGAAAAGAAATTAATTTTGTTATGTTCATTTCTTTTTGTTAACTGTTAGTAAATTTTAAAAACGTTACCAAGAGCTAATGTGGCCGAGCACGAGAGTTGACCAAAATCGTTTTTGATTACAACTTTGTAAACACCGCCATCGTCTGAGGTTACGTTTGCAATTTTTAAACCATGTTTTGTAGCATCGGAAAACATCGAAATATTTTTGTCTCCAGTCAGCATTTTGTCGTTTTTAAACCTGAAAAATAATTTAACCCCTATAAAAAAAATAAAAAACATCAACATTTATTTACTGACCATGATAATGTTGGAGCAGTTGTAGAAGATGTTATTTCGATCTGGAAAACCACAGATTCACCAATTTTTGCTAGCTGACTTTGAAGAGATTTTACAAATTTAGGAGGATGATCTAATGAAGTAAAACATTTTAACATTTATATTAAATAATGTAAAAAAATAATAGGTTCAGAATTTAAACTTTACCATCCGATTCAGTAGACGTGGAAATTTTTCCAGTACCTGGATGAAAATAAAAATTATACGTGAAAAGCCATCAAGTTATTACTTTGAACTGGTGGATCAAAAGTACAAAAGAAATTATTAAAAATGTTTTGTGTGATATGTTTACAAATTCTTAAAAATAAGAATTTAATTAAAAAAACTGTAGTTATAAGCACATGATTTGACCAACAAAAATGATTTTTTTGTGTGCAATAAATCAAGTCACATTTACATTCAAAATCAGTGACCTCAGGCAACAAGGCAGAAATTTGATACTGTAATATATTCGATTTGACGTTGTTGGCATACAAATCTAGATACAAGTTCAATAACTGGTTTCTCGAAGTCCATCAGAAAAACATTTTCGTATCGTGTAATTAAGTATTTTTACTTTGCTTACAAAATAAGTTTTTAATCAAATAATAATTTATCACATTCAGTTGTGCATATATTCAAATGAGTTTGAACAATTTTTAATTCTTTATTTTTAAATAACTGAAAATAAAACAAATGATAGAAAACTTAAAAAGTATTAATCGCGGCAAAGCAGTTAGAGTTGGTCAAAAGAGAGCCTCAATTTAAAAAAAATGTTCAAAATTTTTGCAGTTTAATTTTTATTTTTAACTCAATTTTTTTTCATCAGGTTATAAATGTTGTAAAAAAAGTATTGCACTCATCTCCATAAATTAAGAAGACTTAAGATGCTTCTATATTACTACATTAGTCATTGAACATATTTTTTTGTTCATTCTTTTGCGATGACTGTTTTTATAATTTGAAATACGAACTTACAAGACGATTGCTTAGCAAAGGTTTGTTGGGAAGAGTTTTCTTAAAAATTCATATTTAAAATGTTCAGTATTATTAAACTAAAAAAATTAATAATACGTTTTTAGCTTAAAACACTCCACCTAAAGCATGGATGAAACGTGCTCGCGCGTTGCGTACATGCAGTGGTGTGGCGAGGGGGTACAGCCTGGGCAGTTGCTCGGGGCGCCATTTCTAAGGGGCGCATTTTGAAGTTTTTCTATAAAAAATTACATCTAATCAAAAATTATTAAAAACAATTATGTAAAATTAAATAAAATACGAAATATTTTGGTTAAAATTATCAATTTAGCTAAAATATATCTTTGCCTAAATACTCGATTTTGAAAAAAAGTATAAAGGTCTTTGGTATTTGGGCGCCTAAATGACTATAGGTTTTTGTTTAAAGGCAAATTATTTTTTTGAAAATTTTAACGGCACTGCAGCTCCCAAGATGGTGCTATAATGTGCCAGTAATTTTAATGTTTTTTTCTTAATTTTTATTTCATTTTTTTTTCATAATTATCTAGATATTATTATTACATCTTAAAAATCAATCACAGTCGAAAAGGAAGAATCCGATCAAAATATATCAACACATCAATCCAGAAAAATAAATGATATTCTTTGACTTAAGTATATTTTAAGAGGTAAGGTTGTAATAGTTTATTCCAGTCTTTTTAAGTTGACGGGTAACAGATTCAATAACCACACCATAGACCAGAAGCACCAGAAGTTGACGTCAGCACGAAGAGAAAAAACCCACCTACCGTTCGCCAGTACCACAAACCAATGACTCTCACTTTAGTGCATTCAATCTACTTCAATAACGTTTTGACTATTTAAGTTCCTGGTATGTCGCTTGATTTTTAATCATGGAGGCCAACCACAGACGGAATTCGACACAAAATTGAAAAGATTATAAAGATTAAGGATAGAGTGGTCTGATTCTCTCTTAGCGGCACACGAGCCTCCACCATGGTATTTAGCCATTGTAGATTTTCGATGCACTTTGAGAGAAACGCAAAACTGCACAAATCCTCTCGAAGATATTAGAGTTTTCACTATGGTATTCAGCCGAGCGAACCGTACAGATGTTTAAAGGCAAATTTTTTCAAAACGCGCCTTATCTTATTAGTGTTTGATCAATTTTCGATCATCAAATTGAATATTTTTAACACGAAGAGTGCGCGTTTTCAAGTTCGCACGACTAAATGAAACTGATCGAAAATTCGTGCTTCTTCTTAATTTAAAAAATTTATTATATAAAAAAAATTTAAAAGATTTGAAAAATTTATTATATAATAAAGAAAATGATAAATTGAAAATAAAATGTTTACATTTAGCGAAGTTCTACAATTCAGATATTGATGGTACTGAATTATATTTCGTAATATCTGATTGCAGAATGCTTCTATTTACGCGTGAAAAAAATTTTAACATCGGAAAATCTTATTAAATTTATAATCGAATACGGAGGTCAATACGTTTATCCTTATTTACGAGTTGCTCTTCAAATTTTAATAACTATTTCCATTGTATCCATAACTGTATCCATTGCTACTTTTGAGCGATCATTCAATAAGTTAAAATAAATACTAAGTTTCTTAAGGGCTCAAATGAGTCAACTGCGATTGTGCAATTTGGCAGTGCCGAGTATTGAAGAAAATGAAATGAAGAGATAATCAACGAGTTCGCTTCAGCAAAAGCCAGAAAAGTTGACATCTAATGAAATTTATCACAAATTTTTTACAATTCACTTTTTAAATAAATTAAAATTATTGTGTAAGCTGCTTCTTTTATTGCTTAAAAAACATGATTTTTGTTACCAATTTTTGACAATTTACTTTTCTATATGAAAGTTAATGTATTTTGTATAATTTGCTTTTTTATTGTTTGTCACAATTTAAAAAATTGAACGTATATAACTTAGTTTTGGATTGATTAAATTAGAAATTGAATTTTTTTGGTCAAGGAGCGACAATAAGAAATTTGCCCAGGTAGAATTTTATAGTCGCTACGCCACTACGTACATCCCATAAATGAGCTTACGTTTCGTTCACACTCAAACGACGCAAATTAGCCGGTGCAAGAATTAAAGTAAATTTTTATATAACGCCATCAATCCAAACTCAAAAGTATTTTCATAGTTTTAATTACATATTGAATAATGGACTTTTGTGTAGATTTAGAGACGATATGCATTCCAGAAAATTTGTATCCTAATTAATTTGACCAACGCAATTTTATTGCATAAAAACAACATTGCATACTCTCAGCCAATCAATCAACCAACAAAACAAACAATCACTAAAAACTTTTTTTCAACTTGCAACGTGATTCACGGTTGTTGAACCTTTGATTTTATCAAATACACCAAGAATCTAAATTTTTATTGTCTTTACAACCTTTTTTAAACTTTTATTATTGGTGTATTTTTATGAGCCTGGTTGAACCTATTTCATTTCAAGAAGAAAGTTGTAGCTGGTAAGATATTGCCTCCAACCTCAACCAAGCACCAAAACCAAATCTAATATAAGGATAAAAACATACATATTGGCACCTATTTGTTAGTGTGTTAGCGTCTGCACATGCTGATATATGGCAAACTGTTCAAACATTAAAATTTTTTGAAAAAGCTTGGGGGTGCTCACCTGATTTACCCTCATCTGATGATACCAGTGTCACAGATTTGCCCGCTTCTGTAAAAAATTGATAACATTCGCATGAAGAATGTGTTTACAATGAATAAGAAATAAGCGGTCTGGAAGAAGTTCATGCAGAATATTCCATTCAGAGTAAATGAGCAGTAATTTCAAACCGTGAACAAGTAGTGTGGCAGTGAATGATGATCTTCCAAAATCGTTAGATGCAACTGCTGTGTATTGGCCACCATCGGCTTCAACAATGGAGAATAATTTTAACGTATGATCATCATCTTCCGAAGTTATTTGCACTTTGTTGTCATCAACCAGAACGATTCCATCCTTTTTCCTAAGATTAATCAATTGTTAAATTTTAAAACTCTTTTATTTTTGTTTTTTAATCATTAGCCATTATGTTTTTTGTGAAGTAAACGGATGTTAATGAACATTTACCAAGAAACTTTGCACTTTGGCTGGCCAGCAACTTTGCACTTGAAAACAACGTCACTGCCGACAGGAGCTGCCTGACTTTTCAGCGGTTCAACAAATGATGGACTCGTTCCTGGAATAAAATTTAAATTTATATTTATGATATTATTTTTTTATTATTCATTGAG